TTAGGAGCTTACCCACACAAAGGTATCTGAGAGCGTCTTTACGCCCACTCACATCTGGCTCCCAGCGCAGGGCCCCCGTTTTCCCCATCTGGCTCGGCGCTGCCTACGTGTTGCGCTTGAAACTTGGGCACGTGTGTGCCGATAAAGCCAAGATGAGGAGCACATTTCTGTACCCGTGCCTACAACCACTTCCGCCTCGGCTCGCTCGCAGCTGCCTGCCAAACACCCGACTCTCCCTCCCTCTCCCTCCTCCTCCTCCTCCCCCCCCAGGCGAGAGATAAGACGCTCGTGGCAGGACGCTGCACCTCACGGCCGCTGCGCATGAAGAATGGGAACAGTGGGGTGAATGGGGTGCGCGCGACGGGACGCGCCGCTCCACGTCGCACGCACGAGCACTCTGTTGGTTTAAAATTTTACAAAGCTGTGAAATGCCGTGGGGTTTTTAAACGCGCATTAAGAGCGAATTCATTATTCAAAAGCCATTTAATAACAGCGCTCATTCATTTAATCTTCGGCGAGGCGCGTGAGGATATGAAATTGACGTTCTATCAATGCAATAATAACTTATCTACAACCCTTTGCCAATCCACTGCTGAATGGGGGCCTCCCCGCAGCGTGCTGGTCATGGGGGTCACTTGACCATACTTGACCACGCTGATGAGTGCGGGTTGCTGATGGGAGGCAACCGAGCCTGCTTCAGACATCACTCACCACCACCGACGTCAGAAGTGGCCGGGAATCAAACTCCGACTGCCAGGTTTATAGCGAGGTGCGCAAACCACAGCACCACCCACCAACCCCCCAGCCCCCCAATAAGTACAACAGTTCTCAGCAGCTGTGAAGAAACATCTGCACCAACTCAACTTCATTGCCTCGTTGACCCTGGCCTGGTGGCGCTGCAGTGCTCTGCGCTACGAGCCCGATGGTCGCCGTGAACCCAACTCGAGTCCAACGAGTTCGCGACACAGTGCGCTCGATAACCACGGCACCCCCCCCCCCCATTTCCACGATGCCCATCAGCTCATGGGGGCTGGCGAGCCCTTGGCAGCGTCGAGCGAGCCGGGAGCCCGTAGCCGGGGCACGGCCCAACAAGGCCGACCGCCGTCGGAACATGCGACCATACCGCTCCGTGTACCGTACCGCTCCGTGTACCGTACCACTCCGTGTATCGTACCGCTCAGTGTACCGTACCACTCAGTGTACCGTACCACTCAGTGTACCGTACCGCTCCCCCCCACCATCTCCAGCACCGCCATCGGGGCCCGACACCAAACGCGTGAGCGGATTACGCAAAAAAATTTCAATCGATCGCGATCGACCTTTCCGCCGAGCGCCAAACGGGCCCCAGATAGGCACGCTCGGCTTTGATGAGCGGCAGCAGCGGCGAGGCACGGGGGCTAAGGTCACATGGCGGCGAGTCAGCTCGTTTACGAGGCGAGGCTGATGAAACGGATGCCGAGGACGCAATCGCGTTCAAAGCGTCGCCCGTTAAAGCTGGGCTCTCACGATGGATCGGCTTGACGCTCGTGACAAAGCTGGCCGCCTACGCCTCGCTCGTAAGCGACATCGTCGCCGGGGTGTCAAGTTGACGGGCCGCCTGTCTTCGGCTCGGCGGAACATCGTGTGAAGCGGCAGCCACGATCGCGGCTGGGGTCACGCAGCGGTTCGTGGAACTGGCCGCTAACCCGGCAAACCGAGTTCGACTCCTGGCTACAGCTGACCTGACATCCAGCCGGGGGTAGGGTGGGGGTGGGGGGGTGATGTCTGAACCAGTGCTGGTTCCCCTCTTCCCCATAACCAACAGTGATCACAGCATGGTGAGTATGGTTAAACAAACCACATGACCAGCAGGGCCAGTGGAGGCCGTCATCCAGCAGTGGGTTGACAAACAGCTGTAAATGTAACAGCTTCTGAACGTCAAACTATTACCGTCGTTGGCGAATGTTTGCGCAAATTGCAGCGGGCTGAAGATGATTGCGTTCAATTAGGGCTTGTGGCCACTGTAATCCATATGGCTCGGCCAACTCAACATTCCTTGCTAATGGATTCGCTATTTAACTCAATTCAATTACTTTAAAGAACACAGTGACATTGTGAGCGCGTGGGGGTTTTTTGTTTTACCCAATAAATAAATGCACGGAAGATGAAGAAGAAACACAAGCACATGATGACAATCCTTAAAGTGGCTCCGAAAACGTTGGGCTTTTTTTTCTGTGGGAAAGGCAACCAGTCGCAATCAGCGTAATGGGTTTGAAACTTCGGCCGGAATAATGGAATCCGAGTGGGCGACCAAGGGGACAGCAATTATTGGACCTCACGGGGACAACCTACGGGGCTTCAGAATTTCAGAAACTGACAAGCGAGATGCCCGGGGGGTCTCCGTGCCCCAGATGAAAGGAGGGGGGGGAGGGGGGGCAACGTGGCACACAAAAGTCGTTTCCGTCGACGGCGAGTCCTCGCTTAGCGTGTGGCGGTGTTCACACCATAACGCGGTTCTTTCATTCGGGAACACTTTTCGCACAATGCGGAATGCGCACTATTGTAACGTGGAACGTGCACCCCGTTATAACGTGGAACCGCGTGCGCTTATAACGCGAAACACGCACCACCGTCATAACGCGGAACGTGCACCGATATAACACACAACACGAACCATTTTAAGGCGGAACAGCGCACCGATATAACGCAAAACGTGTGCCGTAAAAACACGATTCCTGAGAGGTCGACTACGAACCGATTTCTTGAGCTGCATGGCTGAACGGTACAGTAACATAGTGCGCAGAACGATACAGTCACGTGGCGGTCTACCCTCAGTTATTTGTCCCGCCAACTCCACTGCTTGTGCGTCGTGTCGTGAAATTATTTACGGGGGAATTGTTTTCGCTTGACGCGTTTTTCACTTGCCACGCAACTTTTCAGGAAAACATCTACCGCGTTAAACGAGGACTTGCTGTACGTGCTTAATATGCGAATTAAACAAACATTTGATAAGACTTTACGAATCTACTACCGGATGAAGGCCTCCTGACAACGCTTCGGTTATGAAAGCTGTTTGACCATACTTCACCACGCTGGTCACTGCGGGTTAGTGATGAGGTTTAGGTCAAGTTCAGATATTCAGAGCCACTCATATTTGCCATGGCAGAGAATCTAAATCAAGTTCCAGGATTGGTAGTGTAGTGAGTTAACCACTGTGCCACCATTCTACCCCCAATTTAAAAGCTCACCTCCAAATTGTTTCACAAAGCATACAATCTGGACATGTGAAAAAGAGCTTTATAGCTTTTTGGATTCCTCCAGTATATTTGATTCCGATAATCTAAACAGATCATAAATTGCTGTCTTCACACACACACACGATTTGATGCACGTATATCGTGAGAGTAGCTTACGGCCAAATATAACCGACGAATCAATAATAACAAGAATAAGTACAGCAGATATAGCAGCTCCTTTCACACAATCTCAATGGCAACAGGGGTGGGGCTCGGTAAGAAGACAAAAATGTTTTATGATTGTAATTGAAGATCCCAAGCGAATAACACTCACGCAAAACAAACACACAAACCCTCTCTTGCAAGTGCCAGGCAAGAGAAAGGGTTCTGGTTGGGGTTCGGGATGGGGTTTGTGTAGAGGGCCCGCACTCAAAGGAGGTGGTGGTGGTGTGAGTGGGGGCAGCATGAAGGTGAACAGGTTTAGGGCAAGGTTGGGTTAGGGGTGGGGTTGGGGTTAGTATTGGGGCAAGCTTGGGGTTCGGGGCGGGGTTGGGGGCAGGGTTGGGGTTAGGGGCGGGATTGGGGTTAGTGTTGGGGCAAGCTTGGGGTAAGGGGTGGGGTTGCGATTAAGGTTATGGGCAGTGTTGGGGTTGGGGGCGGGGTTGGGGTGAGGGCGGGGTTGGGGTGAGGGCGGTGTTGGAAATAGGGGCGGGGTTGGGATTAGGGGCAAGGTTGGGTTATGGGCGGGGTTGGGGTTAGTGTTGGGGCGGAATTGAGGGTAAGGGATCGGATTGGGGTTAAGGTGAGAGGAGGTGTTGGGGTTACAGGCAGTGTTGGGGTTAGGGGTGGGGATGGGGTGAGGGGTCAGGGTTGGGGTTATGAACGGGGGTTGGTGTTGGGGACAGGGTTGAGGTTAGTGTAGGGGCAGTGTTGGTTCAAGTTCAAGTTCATTTACTAGGTACAGCCCTGTGAGCCATGCGGCTCTTAAGTCGGGTGCAATCGCAACAAACAAAATATGAACACAGAAACATCTTAAAGCGACGACGCGTAACAGAATCATCCTGGAACGAACCAGCAAATATTCAATATGTTGTAAGGTGTTGGTGTAAGGCGTCGGTGTAAGGTGTCGGTGTAAGGTGTCGGTGTAAAGTGTTGGTGTAAGGTGTCGGTGTAAGGTGTTGGTGTAAGGTGTTGGTGTAAGGTGTCGGTGTAAGGTGTCGGTGTAAGGTGTTGGTGTAAGGTGTCGGTGTAAGGTGTCGGTGTAAGGTGTCGGTGTAAGGTGTCGGTGTAAGGTGTCGGTGTAAAGTGTTGGTGTAAGGTGTTGGTGTAAGGTGTTGGTGTAAGGTGTTGGTGTAAGGTGTTGGTGTAAGGTGTTGGTGTAAGGTGTCGGTGTAAGGTGTCGGTGTAAAGTGTCGGTGTAAGGTGTTGGTGTAAGGTGTCGGTGTAAGGTGTCGGTGTAAGGTGTCGGTGTAAGGTGTCGGTGTAAGGTGTTGGTGTAAGGTGTCGGTGTAAGGTGTCGGTGTAAGGTGTTGGTGTAAGGTGTCGGTGTAAGGTGTCGGTGTAAGGTGTCGGTGTAAGGTGTCGGTGTAAGGTGTCGGTGTAAGGTGTTGGTGTAAGGTGTTGGTGTAAGGTGTCGGTGTAAGGTGTCGGTGTAAGGTGTTGGTGTAAGGTGTCGGTGTAAGGTGTCGGTGTAAGGTGTTGGTGTAAGGTGTTGGTGTAAGGTGTCGGTGTAAGGTGTCGGTGTAAGGTGTTGGTGTAAGGTGTTGGTGGTTGTGCCGCGCTCACCTGGAGGAGGTATGTGCGGAGGGCCCACGCTCACGGGTGGCGGCAGGATGGGTGGCGGCGGCATGAAGTTGGGCGGGAGGCCCATGGGCCGCAGCGGCGGCGGGGCTGTTGGGGGCGCGAACGACGGCGGGGGCTTGCCCTGGTTCGCACTGTAGTCTCCAGGGGGCGGCAGCGTCCCGAGCACCTGGGGCACGGCCACAGAAACGCGGCAGAGTCTCAGGTGGGCTTGGGGTCGTGGTCGGGTTATGTTTGCTAGGGGTTCGGGGTTAGTGTTATGGTTTAGGTACGGGTCAGGATTAGGTACGGGTCAGGGGTCGCCACGGTGGAGGTCAAGGGTTCAATCCCGAACTGACGCCGGTATATTTGGAGTTTGCATGTCTCTCTCCCCGCGGTCGAGTGGAATTTTCTCCAGTTGATCCCTCCACATTCAGAATCAAGATGCATATAGAGTATCTGGCTGCTATACATTTCCACGTGATAAGCCACTTCGGTAAGCTATCGTTTGTGGCCAGGTCACTTCTGAAAAATAACTATATAGCCTAGAAGGCCTTACTTGGAAAAAAAAAATATATTAGTTTAAGGTTAGGGTCTGGTTAATGTTATAGTTAAGGTTCGAGATAGCATTGCCATTGGGATTGGGTATGAGTTATGATTGTTAGAGTTGGGGTTAATTTAATATTGTGTTAAGATTAATGTTGGGTGAGGATTAGGCTTTGGTTAGGATTAGGGTTGAATTAGGTTTTGGTTAGGATTGGCTTACGATTAAAATAGTGATAAGGGTTGTTACTCTTTGTTTTTTTTGGTAAAGTCACGTAGGTAAAAATAAAATAAATGAAAACAACTAAATTAAATCACGTCACTGTAGTAAGTGACTTTGGCTGTAACGGTTCCACCAGAAGACGGAAGCTTGTGTTGCCTCCGAAACGTCGTGATTTTTATTTAGTGGTCTTCATTTATTTAATTTTTACCTACGTGACTTTACGAAAAAAGCTAAGAGTATGAATCCTTGCAGTCACGAAAGCTTCAAATCTAAAGATAAGGGTTGTGTTAGACTCGAGTTAGAGCTGGTTTAGACTCAGGTTTGGGGTCCATGATAATCGGGACTCAAACCCCGACCGCTGGGTTTGTGGCGCACAGCACTAAACCGCCACATCGCCACTCACGAGACCAAACCGCACGCGCGCAATTCCCGGCACACGCGCTCCCTCTCTCTCTCTCTCTCGCACGTGCGGCAACAAATCCCCCATCGTCCACTGGCGTGCACCTACGATATCAAAGCCTCTTCGCAGGTCAACGTTAATGGTGCGCGACGTGGCGACAAGCCGCACCAGATAAAAAGCAAGCGAGTGTAAAGCGTGCATTAAAAACACGCGCCCCCAAGGGGCCGCGCGCAAACTTTCGTTCTCGTACATCACCGTCCGGCAGATTAAAAGCTTCCGTCGCTGGAAATCATTACCGGGGTCCGCCCGCCAAACCGCGGCGGAGGAGAAGGCCGCGTGCGGGAGCGGCAAAGGTGGAACGGCGCCACTTTCTAGTCGGGCTGCGCTCGGCGCAAGCGCGTTCGGCAAGGTCGCCCCGTGCAGGCTGCTTCAGGCCGATTCCTCACTCAGCGTCTTAGGGACACAGCCTTTTTTTTTTTTCCTAAAAAATTTACCGTTTCCCACAATTACACTCGGACCGCGCAATCGGCGTCGCAGCGCGAGACGACCACGTTTTGACATCCACTTTGCTTGCAGCGAGCAGCGCACCACCCTGTGTCAAAGAACTGCCAAGGAATGTAGGGACAGGATTTTCTTAGCCACACTACATGCACACCTATCTTTCATCTGGCGACAGCACAATCCACAATTCTGGCTGTCACCTGATGATGCTGGTTGTAATTATTGGCGAAACGTCGTACTCAAATTGTAAATGATTGTGGTTTTAACTCTCCAACACACCGGTGTGCTGTACGAGTAACGAATTGGTATATTTTGTTCGCGTGACGAACCTTACCAATTTGGCTGTCGGTCGGTGGCGTGTTTAACAACACGTCACGCGATCTCACCCAAAAACCTCTATTATGGATAATATTGGTCACGAAAGCCAAACAAAACTGTTTATTGCATGTAAAGCAATGTTTTTTTCATTTACTACCAGAGTTCAAATAAAAGCTGCGTTGCGCAAAAAAACAACTTCTAAAAAAATATTTAAAAAATTCACAGTCACAGCCTTGTTACCCTCGGGAGCACCGTTCATTTCCGGACGGCTGAAACCCAAAATCACAACCTGAAACTCGCCAGGGGTGGCTCAGTGCCTCCGAGCCCAGCGCCACCCTAGTAGGGTCCCTCAAGTCTTGATGAGTGGCCATGGTTCTTTGCACTTTGCAATTTTTTTTTACTGATTACTAAACGTGTCTCAGCTCAGGACCTTTGAACGCCCGGCTGTCAAGCCAAAGTGTCTCCAAAACCCAAGCAAGTACAGAGTGTTCATCTGACGGTACCACTTAGCCCTCTCGCCCGAGAATGTGGCATTTCTGTTGCTAGCGATACAAAGGTAATTACCAGGGTCTCGTTATCCGATTACAATTGCACAATTAAAACCCCAACGCGGGCGGCAAGGAAAGGAAACGGAGATGTTCTTTCGAAATCTTGACCAAAGCAGGCAACGTCAAATATCAAACAAGCGCGAGCCCTTTGTTACGAAGCCGCCCCTCCCCCCGCCCCCTTCAAAGACGGCAAAAAATGTTCACAGGGCACCTCGTCCACAAAACCCGCCGCCGCGATGAATTTCAAAGACTTTGCCCCCCCCCACCCCGCCCACGTTTCCCGGTTGCCGGGCTCGTATGGCTTGACACGTGCCCACCCCCCCACCCCGCCCCCCCCTTGTTCAAGTGTAAGAGGTAGGGTCGACACCTGCATGCGTTTAACTCCTGCAAGGGGCTGCAGGCCAGGCAGCCGTCTCAGTGGCTTCAGAGCGGCACGCGACTGCGGAACGGCTTCATAACGGCAGGTGGGATTGGGCAAGCGCCTGTCGGCAATTGCCAGCTCATCCCGGATACCGATAAGTACAGCTACGTACGTGCACAGCTAGATACGTGTATAGCTACGTACGTGCACAGCTACATACGTGCACAGCTACGTACGTGCACAGCTTCCAAGTGAAGCCACTGGAGCTATGCACTTTGAAATCGAGATTGAAAACCCATTTCTTTAGAACTGCTTTTTGTGTTTCGTTTGTTGTCCTTCCCAACGCACCTCCGATTAGCCACGGGTTGGCTACGTACGGTGCGAAAGAAGTTCAACATACAGACATACCAAACACGGAATCTGATTTTGGGGCTATCGGTGGTGGGCACTGCAGCAAAATCGATATTTTTTGCACTGCGCCGCACCATCGAGAAGAGCTCAGTTCGAAGGCGGCGACGGCAGTCACTTGTCGGATGCCGTCGCCCGTCTTGACGACCAAACCACCAGCCAAACCGCGCACTTCGGTTGGCGGTTGACGTTCAAAGCGGACCGCGGCCCTCTAAGGAATGGCGCCGTCCCCCACAGGGGTGTTGGGGGGTGCCCCTCGTCCAGCAGCGGACGTTCAAAACGGCTGTACGCGAAAACCTCGCCAGGACTTGACAGCCCCGGCACCGCCGGATGAGCGCGGTTGGTTACATACCGTGCGAAAGAAGTTGAACGTGCATCCGTACGGCGTTGTGGTAGTGTGGCGGGAGCTGCAGCGGTGTGGTGGGGCTGCGACGGTGGCGCGGTGCGATGGTGATTCAGCGGTGTTGTGAGTGTGGTGTAGATATGGCGGTTGCAGCGGTATTGCGCGGTGAGGCCGGCCCTTGCCTGGATGGGGCTGGGCTCAGGGAGGCCGTCGCGGTCTCGCCTCCTGCCCTCCACGCGGGTGATGCCGATCATCTGGCTCCCGATCACGTCGATGGTGCCCGACAGCTTCCTGGGTTCATATCTGTTCAAACGCAAACGCGAGCCTCTGTAAGTCCACCGATACCAGAATCCACGCCATCGCACGTACATGCCACCAGCTCGACGTGCGCGCCCCTCTTGATTAATTCGCTGCTACAAGAGGCCCTTCCGCACGCAGTATGGGCCTCGGGATTATTTACCCACGCGTCAGCACGTACGTATGCATGCACGGACGTATGCTGAACTTCTTTCGCACCGTACGTAGCCAACCGTGCTGAACGGAGGTTCGGGGGAAGGAAAACTAAAACACGTTCATCCAGACTGCACTATCATCGGGATGTGTGGAGGGGAAGAATTCATTGGGAACTCTCAAAGAGCAGTGCGAGTGTCACAGAGCTACCACGGCGATCCCTTCTAGAGTGACCTCTGTTCCACACGGGAGGGGGAAACACTTTCGACCTCCTCTGCCTTCAACCATAATGTTCACTGCAAGTTCTCAGAGCTGGAATTTAGCCAAAATTAAAGTGTAGAAGCACATTGAATGTCATTTGCGACCGATCAAACACCAACATCTCACTCATCCTCAACGGCATAGCTGAGGCTGCGCTGCAGGACACTGCAGCGACATTACAGCGACACTGCAGGACACTGCAGGACACTGCAGCGACACTACAGCGACACTGCAGGACACTGCAGGACACTGCAGCGACACTACAGCGACACTGCAGGACACTGCAGGACACTACAGCGACACTACAGCGACACTGCAGGACACTGCAGGACACTGCAGGACACTGCAGGGACACTGCAGTGACACTGCAGGACACTACAGCGACACTGCAGGACACTACAGCGACACTACAGCGACACTGCAGGGACACTGCATGACACTGCAGGACACTGCAGGACACTAAAGCAACACTGCAGGACACTGCAGGCCACTGCTGCTGACGCCGCGTGGCCAGGTTGTGCCGCGGGGGTGGAGCGCTACCTGTGAGGCGGGGGTCCCATCCGTCGCAAGCCACCCTGCTGCAGTGGGAACTCGGTCTTGATGAGCGTTGGTCCGGCCATGTCTTGCTCCTTGTCGAGCAGGTTTCCCGTCCGCCCTTGCTGCACCTGTGGGTGCCACGGTGGCGAGATGTTAACTCCCTCGCCCGGTATACAGGAGGGCGTGGGTTCGATCTCGACCCTGACACCTGCTGTATATTTGGAGTTTGGGCGTCTCTCTCTCCCTGTGGTCGCAAATATATTTTTATACGGGTCCTCCAGTTTTTCCTTCCACATTTAGAATCAACGCGCTCAGAGTATTTGGCTCCTATAAATTTCCACGCGACGATAAGCCACTTCCTTGAGCTGTCATTAATGATGGCCAGGTCGCTTCTGAAAAAGAACGACATAGCTCAGTGGCCCTGACCTGATAAAATTTAAAATGTGAAAGTAAAAAGTTCACAAGCGGGAGCGGCAATAGAGCGAGGCGTGCGAGCGGACGCTCGGCCGCATTGCGAGCGACAACGCGCCCTTCCGACGCTCTGCGGCGCCTCCTCAGCTCGCGACGTACGTGCGTGGCCCTCGCGTGCACGTGCGGCCGATCGACAAGTTAATCCTGCACAAGCGCGGCCCTTCTGGCAATCAACCGCCGGGCGAGCGAGCGCCGCCCCACGCCGAGCAGGACACGGGGGTCGGTGAACGTAGTTTCCTAACGCGGTCAGCGCGGGTTGGCGAAGGCTGGGAGCACGGACGTGGTGGGAGAACAGAAGTACAGTACGACAACGGATTTTGCCGCGCAGTATTCCCTCGTTATTCACGAGCTTGCTATCCGCAATGTTCACTATCCGCGAATCGCATCTTGAACTCTACACGACGGCAACGAGAGAAAGTGATGAGAGATAAAGTGAGAGAGAGATAGAGATGAGAGATGAAGTGATGAGGGAGTGATGAGATAAAGAGATGGAGAACTTCTCGAAGCTTTAAAACCTTCTGCAGACGTTGTGCGCACGATAATCGTAGGCCATTACCACTATCCGTTAGATTTGTTATTCGCGAGCATCTCCAGAAAGTATCCCTCGTCGCGAATAACGAGGGCATGCCGTACTGTCCTCTGCTGCCCGCCGCACTGCCGAAGCAATGCGCGAGATCCAGCGGCGGGTCAAGGCCCCCAGCGTTGAGGAGGCAACAAAGCCCCGGTGATGACGACGACGGCGCGTGCGGGCGGACTAACCGATGGTGACGAACACAAGGCAACGCGTCGCTCCAAGGACCGATGGCCGGAGGTCGCGGCTCGTGATGGAAGCGGCGTTGAGAGGGGGGAACGCGCCCCGAGAGGCACGTCCAACGAGGAGATGGAGCAATGAAATTGGGTTTGTGTGCAGGAGCTAAACGAACCGCGACACATCGAGATGGCAGCGGCTTGGGAAGGGCTTCATCCAGCAGTGGATATATCGTGACTGATGATGATCAATAAAGCACGATAGTGAACCGAGACTCGTGCTGGGACAAACGACTGCCACTTACAGCCGAAGCCCGGTCAAACGGTTCACAAGCGCTCTTGAAGTGAACGGTGCAAGAACAACAAATGAGTTACAATATGATAAGTGCACTGGATTCCACAAGTCACACACACACACCTCTCTGCGTAATGAATCATTACGTGTGCCGGACACGCCGACCTCCGCACAGCAAAGCCGTGTGACGGCAGTACCTGCCGCCTAACGATCGTCATGACGCACGGAGGGCCCCACCGAATCACAACATGGGGAGCGAATGAGACACCGCGATCGTCTAAACTCAGATGCCCCCTAATGGACAGGTTATATTGGACGTATAATAGCACAACAAAGATAAAAGATCCCCCGTAAAGCCGTTAACAGACAGTTGGGGCAAATGCTGTTCACGAGCAGAAAATCGTCACTGGTGTTGGCCGTGAGCGGGAATTGAACTCGGGTCACCGCGGTCATAGCACAGCGCTTTAACCACTGCACCACCGCTGCCCACAATAGCACAACAGAGGCACACACTCGCACAAAAAAACTAAGATCTGTGAATAGCCTAAGAAGACTGCTGGGGCAAGTGTCATTCACGAGCACCTATGAAGGCCGGCACGGCGCACAAATCGGGTGGTGTTGACAGCATCCCGCCCGGCTGCCTTTGTCTCCTCAGTGCCGATGTTTACACACCGCGCAGAGCCAATCTAAGGAAGGCCTCTCAGTGGTTCAGTTAACCGCCAACGATGTTACCTACGGCCGAAAATCAAACTCAGGTCGCCAGGTTCCTAGCTCCCGCGCGCTAACCACCCGCAAGACACGCAAGCTCCAAATAGACAGCAGGAGTCAAGGCTGTTTTAGAATTAGGCTTGGGGTCCATCGCGATCACGACTCAAACCCCGACCGCCTGGACTGCGGCGCACAGCGCTGGCGCTCCACGGCGCCACTCCCCGAGACCAAACCGCACACGTGCGCAACTTCCGGCACGCACGCGCTCCTTCTCTCTCGCAAGCGCAGCAATAAATATCGCACCACCGCGAGGCCACTGGAAAAAGATTAGCGATCGCGGCGGAGGCATGGGTAACGGATCAGCAGAGCGGCGGGCGGACGCGATGGAGCGACCGAGCGAGCAAGCGAGCGATTGAGCGAGCGATTGAGCGAGCGATCGCGCAATGAAGCGAGCGATCGCACCGTGATGCGGTTCATGGCCGGGCCGCTGGGCAGCGGATCGAGTCCCTGGCGAAGACGCTTCTGCTTCTCGCAGTACGCCTTCCACGTGTCCTCGTTGAAGCCAAAGTTGAAGTAGTCAGACAGATCCGCGCCTGCAAACGGAACACAGCGACAAAGACAAAGATCCCCACTTGTAGCCTCAACAGACTTTGGGGGCAAGTGGAGTTAGCGCGTAGCAACTATGAAAGCTGGCACGGCACACGAAGGGGTGGGTGGTCAGCACCATGCCCAAACACCTTTAGCTGCTTCGTGGCGATGTATACACACCGGACCAGATACTCATTTGAGGCTGAGTCAACCTAGAGGAGGCCCAGGACCAGTTCAGATAATCGTCACTGGTGTTGGCTGTGAATGGGAATTGAACCCGGGTCGCCGGGTTGACAGCGCAGGATGCTAAGCGCTCCCCACATCCACTAACCATGCACAGACACGTCCACGAACCAAGCAAAATACAGCTCGCACACCACACACAAACACGTGCCACGCACGCACACATTCACAGACCGCAGGCACACATATACTACTCACATACACGGACACACGTACCACGCACACTAAAGCAATGGACACACAAAGCACATACACAGACACACGCACCAGGCACACACGCACCACACACATACGCATTCTTAAAAGTGTATTGCTCTTCATTTACCCAGGAAAGTCTGAACGAGTCAAGACTTTTTTTCAGGAGGCTGTTATATCCGCTACGGCTAAACAGGGGCCTTTGTCATTGTCATTTGTTAACTTGCATCTTCAATGCCACGAAGCATAAACTAAACTATTTTTTATTTTACCAGTTAAGGCCCAACGAGCAGTGTCGCTCTTTTCAGAAGCAACCTGGCCACAAATGATAGATGAACTTAGTGGCTTATCACGTGGAAATTAAAAGCAGCTAAATACTCTAAAACGTGTGACAAATATAAAGCGGGCATCACGATCGGGATCGAACCCACGACCTCCCGCATACTAAGCGAGGTAGTTAACTTCTCCTAGCCACCGCGGATGCCCTAATGAATCCAACCGGGCTCTCTCTCGCCCACCGAAACAGAGCACAGAGGAAGCTTTCTGCGTGCGGCGCGGTGCCGTTTCTGTGGCTGTCCGCACCTGGTTTGCGCCAGGGCTTGTCCTCAAAGGAGTCGAGGTCAACCTCGAGAACAGGAATGCCGGCGATGCTCCCCGGCGCGTCCAGATCCACGCCCTTCACCTGTTTGGGTCCGGCTGCGGGCACGGGAAGGGAGGGGGGGAAAGATTCGAACACGTAGCAGGCAAATACTACACTCACAACCGCGTACGGGCTCGGAGCGTGCGTCGATGCTACGCTCGTGCACGCACACAGCATGTGAGCGCTACGCTTGCGCACAAGTAGGGTACACGCAGGAGCCCGTTGATGAACTTGCTGTCGGCGATCTTGGCTATGAGCGAATCACATCTGGAACCCTACACGACTGCAGATAAGGTGATGAGATGAAGGTAGTAAATTTATAAACCGTTATTTAATTATATTACATTAATTATTAATTACTTTGTTCATGGCAACCAATTTCAATGTTTCTGTGTCACTATATTGTCATCTATTTATTAGGTTATTTTTGTATTTAATCCAGGTAATTCTTGACATATCACTAGTCGCACCATTTTCTATCCACAAGCACCTCCAGAACATATCCCTCGCGAATAACGAGGGAATACTGGACAAACACAAAGATCCCCCGTAATGCTTTAACAGAGGATTGGGACAGGTGCTGTAGCGAGCACTTGTGAAGGCCGGCACGGCACGTGGTGCTGAATGGCCAGCACCACGTCCGGCCGACTGTCTCAAGAGTGGTAATGTTTACGCACTGCCCTAGATATTCATTTGAGGCCGAGTCGACCTAGGGGAAGCCCTGGAGGGGTGCAAATAATCGTCCCCGGTGTAAGCCGTGAGCGGGAATAGAACTCAGATCGCCGGATTCGTAGCGAAGTGCGCTAACCGCTGCACTACCGCTCCCCCATTGTCCGTGTATGAAAACACGTACACGTATTATTTGGTTCTGTCGGTAAAGTCACGTAGATAGGTCCAAAGAATATAACAAAATAACAAAAAACTACGACGTTTCGAACGCAACACAAGCGGTCATCACAGGGAAAAGGGGGGTTAGCTTCTAAAGAGAACTGCTTATAAAGGTTTGAAATGAGCGTAGCCCAAATGTCAGCCTCCCTCACGTGCACATACACACACACAAACACGTAGACGCACACACAGTCAACACACGCAGACCCAAACAAGAAACAATATGAACTGGGTAGCAGAAACGAGAGAAAAAATAATCGAAATGAGACCGTGAATTGTGACGATTCTTCAGATCGCACGGGGTGTGGGTGTAAAACACGGCACACGCCTATTAAATGCACTCACAACACTCCACAACGGACGTACAGGTGTGGTATCTGTACGACTCCACGTGCCGCTGTACCTGCTGAGGATGCCCCATACGGCCGTGCGCCGGGCTTGATATTCAGGTTCACGCCACTGAACACAAAACAGGTGGGGGTTATAGTAATGACGGCCCATCGTATAATCCAGATTGTTGCTTCATCACGTAATAGAGCAGAAATAAATGTGCACGTATGAGTCGAGTAACTTTCTTTCCAAAATTGAATAATTTCTAACAGCCGCTACTACAGCGTTCTATGATTTACACATTGTTTTACGTCAGCCTCCCGATTGCAAGCATAATTAAATGGAACACACAAACGTATTATTTAATAAAACAAATGTCGGACCAAAAATGTACTTTTTTTTTATCTAACATGATTAAAAAAAATTGTTATAATAGTGATACTTGAACAAAAATAAACTGCTTGCAGAGACTTGCATTGATAAGTTGGTTTAAAATTGAAAGATGGGGTAGAGTTCTTCTCCACTTGTAACCTATTTCAGTGGTGGATATTTCACAGGGGTCAATCTTTGTGATTGATCAGTGGTGTACACTCAGTGACCGTGAATTGCTAGTTGGTATAGACGTATACAGTGTAGCTTACATGTGTTCATGCACGTGTGTGCAAGGGCTTTGGGGGTGTGTGTGTGTGCATTTTGTGCGTGTGGGGAGCGGTAGTGTAGCGGTTAGCGCGCTGCGCTATGAACCTGGCGACCCGGGTTCGATTCCCGCTCACGGCCAACACCACGGTGACGATTATCTGAACCGGTCTTGGGCATCCCCTAGGTAGACTCAGCCTCAAATGAGTACCTGGTGCGATATGTAAACATCGTCACTAGGGAGACAAAGGCGGCCGGGCGTGGTGTTGGCCACCCACCCCCTCGTGTGCCGTGCCGGCCTCCATAGGTGCTCGCTAACAGCACTTGCCCCTACAGTCTGTTAAGGCTACATGGGGGATCTTTGTCTTTGTGTGTAGTACAGCGGAACCCTAACCCTCATTATGGAGTGGTAGTACAGTGGTTAGCGTGCATGTGTGTGTGAATGGGGCTACTAGTTTGTGTGTATGCGATATGTATGTGCGCTTATGCAAGAGTATTGCAACAATGCGTGAACTAAGTTTTGCCCAATCCTAGCCAGCTGGTTCAAAAACTGAATAAACCAAAACGTGTGAACAGCTGTTTGTGAAGATGCATGTGGGTGTGTGCGTGCCTGTGTGTGCCTGTGTGTGCATGTGTGTGCATGTGTGTGCAACCGTGTGTGTGCAACCGTGTGCATGCGTGTGCATGCGTGTGCATGCTGTGTGCCTGTATGTGTGCGCAACCGTGTGTGAGTGTGCCTGTGTGCCTGTGTGTGTGCCTGTGTGCCTGTATGTGCGTGTGTGCCTGTGTGCCTGTGTGCCTGTGTGCCTGTGTGTGTGCGTGTGTGTGTGTGCGTGCGTACTCACGTGTACTGTGGCGCCCCCGTCTTGATGTCCCCAATCGTGACCTGCACGTCGTCGTCGTCGCTATCACTATCGCTGTCGTCTTCGGCATCTTCAGTCCCATTCTACACATTACAATGCACAACGTGGACATGTTTAGCGTCTGCACGCGACCGCACATCAAGTTACCTGCACACAGTCGCAGAGTAGAAAAAAGCACAGGACTTGACATCGGACTTGAACAAGGGCAGGGGGTCGATGGCAGACGGCTGGTGGGAGAGAGTTAAAGATTCCCGACACCTCTGATTAGTCACCTTCTTTGAGATATCATTTGTGGCCAGGTCGCTTCTGCAAAAGAAGCCAATAGCTCAGTGGGTTTGACCTGGTCAAATAAAAAATAGTTGTAAATGTTTTTTTGCAATTTGCTTACCTTTCCTATACTTTGCACTCCGATTAGCACGGTTGACGACATACGGCGCGCGAAAGAAGTTCAACATACACACAAACGGAAGGAGCGACTTCCCACTGAGCAAAAGTTGACTGGGAGCTTCGACAGAACGCTGGAGTGGAGAGTTCCAGGAGGGGAGTGAAGTGAGAATGGCGAGGGGGAGAAGTAGGCATGTGCACGCCTGATGACTAAGAGCACGATCTTAACATTTATAATGTCAATTAACACAAAAAAAGTTTCTGGTAATAGGGTCTACTGAGGTTGTACTGTGGTTAGAGCCCAGGACTCGCAGTTGGAACGTGGCAAGTTCAAATATTGAGAAACTCAATTTAGTATTTAGTTTTTGCCAAATCGAGTGTAAAAGCATATACAAGCAGAACATCTGACGTCTCCTCATATAAGCAAGAAAGTTTTAATCTATAAAACCTAATGGCTTTCCAACCGATGTTACCCATGGCGATAATGCAGTCGTTCCACAAACCCTCCACCAATTAATGCCCATGTGTCTACTCTTTGTACCCGTGGTCTTCCCCTTTGGCCTGTGCGTCTGCGAACCAGAGCGAGAGACAAACCGGAGCGGCCACGGCCTCGGTGCCGTCGCCGTTGGTTTCTTCGGCGTTGCCGTTCACAGGGAGGTCGCCGCCTTTGTCGTCGGCGGCCGCGGGCACGTCCGCAGGTGGCCTGGAAGAAAAATGGAGAGCCGCGACACACGCCGATTCAAGAACCACCGCGCTATCGGAATCGGAATCTTGATTTATCCTGGAGAAATGCGATGAGCTACACCCACCACCTCCGAGCACGGGCAAACACGGGCATGTTCGAGGAGCGGCGGTGCAGCTATTAGCGCACCGAGATCCGGGCGACGCGAGTTCCGTTTTCCAGCCACGGCTAACATTAGTTGCGGTGATCCGAACCGGTCCTGGGCCTCCACTAAAGTAATGTCAGACTTAAATGAGTATCTGGTGCCGTGTGTAAAAATAAGCAGTGGGGAGACAAAGGTGGCGAGGCACGTTGCTGGCCACACAACCGCCATGCCGGACTTAATAGGTGTTCGCTCGCAACGCTTGGCTAAACGGGATCTTTGTGCTGGCTGGGAGGACCATGGCCCTACAGCAAATGGATTCTTCAATATCTCTGCAGAGCTTTGAGTGCTATCCACTCATATGCGTGACTTTTCGCAGGATACTCCCGTCTCCTCCCACATGAAGTCACCGATTAACGGAACTGGCCAAACACCTCAATGAAGGACCCTCCCTGACAGAGTCGAGCTAATTTAGCACAAGTACTGTGGTGTTATCACCGCTGCCGAGTGGTGAACAGTAGTGGGTGTTACTGATCTGGTAGTTGGCGTACTATGCAATAAAGCTCACCGACCCGAGTTTACTTTCTGACGATGAATAACGCGAGGGGGAATTGGAATCTACACCAGGTCTGAGCCTCCTCTACGTCAAGAGGCTGAAAAGAAACACGTGGTAAAGATGTGAACATCACCACTGGGGGAAGAGGGCTGGGTGTGTGTGGAGCTGTCAACATTTACATCACTCTCTTGACTGCTATGCCAGCCTTAAGAAGTTTCCATTGGCAGCACTTGCCCAACAGTATCTATCGCGAATTTGAACGCAAGCCAAAAAATTATTCTCGGCCTGCAATCTTACAGAAAGAAATCAATATTGTCATGTCAACATCTGACTCTGTTATCTGCTATAATGTTTGACATGTACAGCTCTTTTGTCAGCCTACTGCTGGATGAGGGCCTTCCTCACGCCTTGCCGGTCATGGGGTTACTTGAACAGACTTGACGTAGCTGATCAATGCGGGTTGCTGAAAACGCTGGAGCATAAAAAGCACCGTCCAATAGACATAGCTGCAGGTCCCTCTGCTGCTGCCCACCACATTACCATTTGTGCAATAGAACATATGGCGTTTTGCAGTCAACCCAAGTTAATCAATCACATGGTCTGTACGTTATTATTCGAAATCAATGACATTTATTTAAAATGTTTGGAAAAAGTGTACTTATTTCATTCCGTTCAAATACCAATGTTAATAAACGTGATAGGAATGTCATCAACAGCCCAAATGATAGAAAATGAGCCTGTTCCCTTGGACAACTCACTCAACCACGTGCTGTCCTAATTTTTTGTAACATAAACTTCACAAACATACAGAATTCTTCAAGACCATCCGCAAAATCCTTCACCCTTCCACGTTCAGTGAGCCTAAGCCTTCCACTTGTCTCACGGGGATGGTGACTCAGGCTAAACTCTACAGCAGTGATCTTCACGTACATTAAACAAGTGTAAATATGAACTCATTGTTAATTAAAAGTTAGGCATTGCAGAAATGTTATTTAAATGCCGTATTCGTGCAACAATTAAATTATTGCATTTTCATTTGCCCGACTTTCCTCATGATGGATAAGACCCCTCAACGCCCCTCCTTCCACCCCATTGGGCAGTAAGGATGTCTTTGACTCCGAGTGATGTGCACCTACCCAACAGTTGCAGGTTCACCCTCCGCTTTGTCAGCGGCATCTTCATCTGAAATAAAATGTGAAATGCAGTGTGATAAAGTAAACGGAGGGGCTTTTTTAATGAAAGACTCACAGGACAAGAACGGTAGGACAGGTATCTCCACGTGCACTGATAAGGTGATTCTTATAAATATGTAGGCCGTTATGTTAACACAAACACACATTTAAACACCAAATACACTTCAGTGCCTTATCTTCATTTCCAGGATACATTTTTGACATGTTTGGAAACAGATGCATACATACTGCAATGTTTGCATGTGTACATTTTAACTACTTGTCCTTTATTTAACCAGTTTAAATAGTGACTTTTTATCAGTCTTAGCAAGGAAATAACAAGCGGAATAACACAAAATACATTTAGTTACTTGTTTTTCTTTTGGGATGTGTAGCCTACACTTTCAAACGGACTTTGCTCGTCTATATTTTTGTCCTGAGTGCACAAGCACGCTTTGGTAGTCAAAGACTCCATGTCTCTTTCACAATGACCACGATCCTTCGACAATCACGTATGGCCTGTTTGTTTTGCATTTTTATATCTCGTTCTAAAACATGTGGACGTTAGACAAATTACGTTTTGGAAGTTTGTATTATGCCAACAAATGCCTTTAAAAATGTTCTGTTATAAACACGTAAAATGTAAAAACCGCTATGTTCTATCCCCTAGTTAAGTGTCTTAATTGAAACTAGAAAAAGTACAAAGAATGTTTGAACCTAATGCATATTAAGAATGACACGCGTACGATCAAAATGTATAAGCAGCAATGTTTTATTCCAAAAACCTTAAGACTATTCATTCCAGCGACACACGATGAACAAATGTGCACCGGGTTTTATTGACGAAAAAGTATACATTTACAACCTTATGATTTATGGTTGTTGCAAAGCAATACTTAAGCACAATATTTAACACAATTATCTTTAGCTACTAGCACAATACAGTGAAGCAAATTACTGGAGATAAACCAAGTAAAAAAACCACAAGCAATAACAAAATCCCGACAACTTGGTTATTCATTATTCAATATTCAGGATCTTGAGCTAGTGAATACGTTGGTCTAAGCCAATGGTCGAAATGTACCAGGTCTGCGGTATATTCTTACTAATTGTCAATCATACTGAATTACAACCACAACGTAATTGTACATTAATTTGCCTTTTGCCATCATTTTATGTATCGAGAAAGTTGAAGATTGCGATTTAAAATTACCGTATCACAAAAGCTCTGCCCCGTCTGCCTGGAAAGCTCACTTTCAGTCTCTAACACGGCAAGGGTTAATAACGAAATTTGGAGATATATTTGACGTTTTGTGCAACGCTGGGAAATTCAAATCCCTTTTGTCTAAAGTATAGGGAGCTTTTTTTTTTGGGGGGGGGAGGGGAATTTGGCAGTGAGATTGCGTAAATGTGTCGTTAACCCTGGCACCACCCGACACAGCAAATTAGTAATGGAACACGTAAGCGGAACAGGGCAATGAGTTATACTCTTAGGTTATTTCGGTAAAGTCACGTAGGTAAAAAAACTGAAATTTATTAAAGTAAAATAAAACAAATAAAAAAATTCACGACGTTTCGGAAGCGACAGCTGTCGTGGCTGTGACGGTTCCACCTGAAGACAGAGGCTTGTGTTGCTTCCGAAACGTCATGAATGTTTTAATTTGTTTTAGTTTACTTTTATGAATTTCAATTTTTTTACCTACGTGACTTTACCGAAAAAACCTAAGAGTAGGAATCCTTGCAGTCACGAAAGCTTCAAATCTAGAGGCAATGAGTTACTAGTACTGTACACCAACATCGGTGTGTTGGTAGTTGCTGCTGCTGCTGTCTTCACGCACAAGGGATTCCCCCGTGTAGGTTAGCAGGGGCAAGTTTAGTTTCTACCTACGTGACTTTACCGAAAGAACCACAGAGTATTGATCGCTGCAGCAGTCACGAAAGCTTCAAATCAAGATTGTAGCAAGGACAAGTTACGAAACAATCCTCTGTAACAAATCATTTCAACTCAAGGCAGCTACTACCACCAACCCTCAAATGCTGTTGCACATTCCAAATGTACCCTCTTTTAACAGGGCAAAAGAACGTAGAGCAAAGCTGAAAAAGCACGCGCGTTTAAATTAATGTAAATAAACGCACCTCCATACAACCATTGCTCTTCGTCCTCCCCGGCCAAGCCTACGGCGTCGCCTGCCGCGTCCCCCACCTCCGCGGCCATCCCCGCGGCAGAGCTTCCAGGCAAGACGGGAGGCTGCGCTGAAGGCCTTGTCGCGATCGGGGCCTACGCGTGTGAACACGAACCTCTGGCGAGCGTCCAATCGCGCGCGCCTTCTACGACGTTTAAAAAAAACTATACGCGCGTGTGTATAAATGTAAAATAAAGGATATTAAAATTAAAAAGCACGCGTGCCTTCCGCGTTGTTTTGTTTGAAGAACTTTCGGGTGGAAGGGGGAAAAAAATGACCACCCGCCCTCGGTGCAGGCAGTCGCGCACGGAGCGCGCGAGCTAATGACGTCACACCCGGACGTGACGTAACGCGCAGCGACGTCATCCGTTAAAGCCACGCCCATGGCTTTGTGACCTCATGCTCGAGTTATTATTTTATTTATATTATTTTTATTTCTAATATTATTTATATTATTTATTTTAGCTACTCAACTTTACCGAAAAAACCTAAGAGTAACGTTTTAAAAGTTCAATGTTGATTTGAAGCTTTTATAAAAGTTCACTCGAACAGAGAGAGCGAGAGACTGGGCTGAGTGTTATCTAAACTCACAGATTAACACGTATTTCTCGATTTGAAGCTTTCGTGACTGCAAGGATTCATATTCTTAGGTTTTTTCGGTAACGTCACGTAGGTAAAACATTAAAATTAATAAAAGTAAAATAAAATAAAAATCACGACGTTTCGGAGGCAACACAAGCTTCCACTTGAAGACGGAAGCTTGTTTTGCCTCCGAAACGTCGTGATTTTTATTTTATTTTACTTTTATTAATTTTAATGTTTTACCTACGTGATTAACACGTGGCAGGCTTTCGCGACCAATATTATTCATAATCAACGTTTTTGGGTTTAGATCGCGTTATTTATACATGTGTCGTAACCCTCCACCACCCGACACGGCCAATCAGCAAAAAAAGTGTCACGTTGACAAAAGACAAAATAGTTCACTGCTTTAGCCCACCGGTGTGTTGAAGCGTGAAACCACTGATTGGCCGTGTCGGGTGGTGGAGGGTTACGACACATTTATAAATAACGCGACCTAAACCCAAAAACGTTGATTATGAAAACTCACAGATGTCATCCCGTGCGGTTTTCCCCGTATTCTTGCACAGGGGACATTGAGTTTTCAGGTCCATATGGCGTACGGCCGTTTCAATACGGGCAAAAAAACAATCATTGTTTGTGTTATGCCCTTGTCATTGGACTTTGTTGGAAGAATGTTGAGATTTATAAGGGACACGGGGTGACCAATAAGGTCTGAGTTGGTCTGCAATAAGGTCGGCACTGATCAGGGGTTCACAGGTATGTAAACTATGAATCTGTAAATTATTAACGTTTTTTATTTTATTTTACTAGGTCAGGCCCAAACTTGACTTAAAGCTTTCGTGACTGCAGGAATTCATATTCTTTGGGTCTTTCGGTAAAGTCACGTAGATAGAACAATAAAATAATAAAAATGAAAATAAAGTGAATAAAAAATAATAAAATGTTATTATAATAATACAATGTTATTATTTTTTATTCACTTTATTTTCAGAGAACAATAAAACAATAAAAATGAAAATAAAGTGATTTTGTATTATTATTATTTTTATTAACTATTATTTAAATAAATTTGCATTATTTTTTATTCACTTTATTTTCATTATTATAATTTTTAATCACTTTAGTTATTTTATTGTTCTTTCTACGTGACTTTCCCGAAAGACCCAAAGAAATCCGATCTCCAACCGCTGAGCTGTGTAGCTATTTTGTCAGAAGCGACCTGGCCATCACCAGTGTTAGCTTAACTCAGTGGCTTATCATCGTCACGTGGTCATTCATAGCAGCAGCCAAACACTATCTAAACGCGTGATGTCACTCTTTGGTTCTTTCGGTAAAGTCACGGAGGTATAAAATAAAATAAATGAAATCACGACGTTTCGAAAAATAAATTTTCTGTGGTTTTCCCACCTGATGATGATTGCTTGTGTTGCAATCGAAACGTCGTGATTTCATTGATTTTATACCTACGTGACTTTACCGAAAGAACCAAAGAGTATGGATCCCTGCAGTCACGAAAACTTCAAATCTAGATTGAACGCGTGATGTTGATTCTAAGTGTGGAAAGGAAAAACCAGAGGACCCAGAGAAAAATCCACTCGACCACGGGGAGAGAGACACACAGAAATCTCTCTATACACATCAGGTGTCTGGGTTGGAATCGAATCCACGGCCTCCTGTACAGCAGGCGAGGTAGTTAACATCTCCTAGCCACCGTGATGATGAGAGAGAGACACCGCAAACTCCAAATACACAGCAGGCGTCAGGGTCGGGGTCGAATCCACGACCTCCTGTACAGCAGGCGAGGTAGCTAACATCTCCTGGCCACCGTGATGATGATGAGAGAGAGACACCGCAAACTCCAAATGCACAGCAGGTGTCAGGGTCGGGGTCGAATCCACGACCTCCTGTACAGCACGCGAGGTAGTTAACATCTCGCCACCGTGTTCTCCAAGAAGAGACCTCGAGAGATCGGGGCAGTGTCTCACTCGCAAGTGAGCCGAGCCACCAACATGACAATCAACATAACACTGGACAATGACTTACGACGAAGCACGTTGCAAATAAGTGGAAAAACAAGCAAATACAAATCTGAGGAGCAGGCTGAGAGAAAATGTGGTTTCTACGTCGGAGCGTCCCTGCCTGACACCACATTGCAGCTCCACAAGCTGCTCATCATCACCACGGTGGCTAAGAGATGTTAACTACCTCGCCTGGTGTACAGGAGGTCGCGGGCTCGATTCCAACCCTGACGCCTGCTGTGTATTTGGAGTCTGCGTCTCTCTCTCATCATCATCATGGTGGCTAGGAGATGTTAACTACCTCAAGTTCAAGTTCATTTATTAGGTATAGCCCTGTGAGCCATTCGGCTCTTGAATCGGGTGCAACCGCAACAAACAAAAAACAAGAGGTCGCGGGTTCGATCCCAACCTCGACCCCTGCTGCTGTATATTTGGAGTTTGCGTCTCTCTCTCTCATCATCATCACGGTGGCTAGGAGATGTTAACTACCTCGCCTGGTACACAGGAGGTCGTACGTTCGATCCCGACCCTGACACCTGCTGTGTATTTGGAGTCTGCGTCTCTCTCTCTCTCTCATCATCATCATCACGGTGGCTCGGAGATGTTAACTACCTCGCCTGGTGTACAGGAGCTCGCGGGTTCGATCCCAACCTCGAGGCCTGCTGTATATTTGGAGTTTGCATGTTCTCCCCGTGGTCACGTTTATTTTTCTCCGGGTTTCTTCCCTCCACATTAAGAAACAACATCACGCATTTAGATTATGAGGCTGCTTTAAATGTCTACATGGTAATCCACTTAATTTGTGGCCAGGTCGCTTCTGAAAAAATAGCAAAAAAGCTCAGTGGGCCATACATGGTAAAATAAAAATGTTTGTTTAGCTTTTTAAATCCTTTATATTAAGTTCGCTTGCTTGCTTAGGACCGTGCAAATCTTTCGGTCGTTTTTAAAAATCATTTATATTAAGTTCGCTTGCTTGCTTGCTTAGGACCGTGCAAATCTTTCGGTCGTTTTTAAAAATAATTTATATTAAGTTCGCTTGCTTGCTTGCTTAGGACCGTGCAAATCTTTCGGTCGTTTTTTAACCCACTTCCCGTGATCCAATCGAGCTGACATTTTGTACACAGACTCGTTGTGCGTGACAATGAATTTGCGTGAAAACATTTTTCAAAAATTTTACACTGTTTAGGGAAAAAATTATAATATTTATTTACCAATTGGTTAATGCTGGCACACAATCATCTGACCCATAGGTGGCAGCCATCTCAAGCCAGAGGACGAGAGGACTCTACCCGCCCCGATGCCACGCATATAAAGGATTTATAGTGAAAAACGTTGTTTTTACGGGTTAATTTTTATCCTGCTCAGACTGCATCACGTTTCATACCTCCTCAACAGATGACACATCAGCCAGCCACTCACAGGGGGTTGGCTACTTCCTCCAAACTCGTAGGGCCCATCCCATTGCACCCACTCTGCCCCGTGACGTTGTTGAAGCAGAATAGTTCAAACCTGCACAACTTCACACCTGCAGACCTGATCCCTGGGGTTGGAGATCGGATTTGTCATTCTTTACATTATCAAGGTTCCCACCTCGAGGAAAAATAAAACTGAGACATATCGGAAGAATTTCTCACAATACTATCAGGGAGCACCGCATAAAAATGCATTATATCGAGTGGTGTATTACTATGCAACTGACAAAAAACTGAAAATGCAATGTCCTGGGAACACCAACATACTTTACAGGATAGCTGCGTCAAAAAAATTAAAAATACGATTCTGGAAAAACCAGGAGAGGTGGCAACCCGACTTATGCAGCCCACAAGGCATCATCAAGTGCCAGTACTGTCCGCACTCTTCTTCAGGAAGGTTCTGCTCGATGTGTTTCGCCAATTTTCTTCGAGTGGTTTTTTGTGTGCGAGGAAAGGCACAGAGAAGAAAACACCACGCATGCCATGGAGAAACACTCAAAAGCCTCCACTGCGACAGGCATCATACCGACAGGCGGTGAGCGACATTGTGTGGACTTCACGATTCCCATCCCGATGTGGCCCACCTACCCCGTGACCAAGTCCGTGAGCTGACATCCAGCAATCGTGAACACAACTCGGACGGCTTTTCACGTGAATTGAGCGAATCTTTATTCTTGAAACTCTGGTAACACTAGCATATTTTAGCAATTTGTAAAAAAAAACAGCTTCCAAGCCTATTGTTTCCGAAAACAAAAATGCCATCGAGTTATATCTGTTTCGATTTAAAGCTTTCGTGACTGCAGGGATTCATCTTCTTGGTTCTTTCGGTAAAGTTACGTAGAATGGAAATAATAAAATAATAAAATAAAACATTATAAAATAATTCTCACGACTTTCGATTTAAAGCTTTCGTGACTGCAGGGATTCATCTTCTTGGTTCTTTCGGTAAAGTCACGTAGAAGGGAAATAATAAAATAATAAAAATAAAACATAATTTTATTATGATTTAATAAAACATAATTTTATTATGTTTTATTTTTATTATTTTATTACTTCCCTTCTACGTGACTTTACCGAAAGAACCAAGAAGATGAATTCTCACGACGTTTCGGCCACAACGCAAGCAGCCGTCCTCAGATGAAGACCAGGTCTGTCGGGGAGACGATGTCTTCCATTCTACGTGACTTTACCGAAAAAACTAAGAAGATGAGTTATTTCTGGTTTTCCAAAAATACCATCATGTGCAGTTCACTCTTATAAGCTTCGAGCATTGACGTTGAGCAAGCAGTTCGTAAACCCCGGACTGCATTATTTTTTGTTTGCATTGTTGCATTCAAATGATTCCCTCACCATCTCTGATACATTTGTAAAGTATGTTCTTGAACAACGTTCAGTAGTACCGTCCCGGTTCAATTACAGCTTCTACACATGACCGTTCTGTTCCAAACGTATACATTTATTTGTAAATGTGGTGCCTTGTACGAAAAGATGTGCCCCGTACAAGAAGTCCAGAGGCTTTGAGAGCAGTTCAAGCCAACGCACGTGTCTGTATGGTATTTCAGTAAATTATTAAACATTTCAAATTATTAAGCATTTCAAGTTATTAAGTATTTCAACTTAATAATTTACTGGCCTTTTCCACGCTGGGTCGGTCATGGAGGTTGGTTTTTAACATACCTCACCATGCTGGCCAGTGTGGGTTGAAGAGGGGCCCAGGACTGGCTTGTATATCATTCACCACCGACGCTTTAGCTGTGGCCAGGAACCGAACTCAAGCCACTGGGCTCACAACACTCCGAGCTAACCACCGCGCCACCTTAACATCACTTGGTTAATGCACGTTATGAAAGATGAATACTCTACGCATAATCAGAATGTGATGGTTTTGGTTGGTTGATTTTTTTTCAAAAAACCAAATACCGCGCTTCTCAAAACATCGTGACCATTCCTCGTGCACTCGCGTTGGGCACCAGCGTCAAAGTCAATGTCCCCTTGCTCAAACAAGCGCCTTGCAAGATGCACATCATTAATTACAGTTCGTGGCCAGCAGTGAAACGTTCCACGTTCAATATTGCAGGGATCCGAATGGACTTAAATACAACCGCGGGCGACTAACGAACATTTTACCCTTCCGTGTAAGGACGGCGAATGATGACGATGGGCAGAGTTTGCCTTGGCCAGGATTTGAAATCACCTTACGACAGGGAAGGTCTGCTGCTCGTCAAACTGAGCTACATTATAACCACATGTATGCTGACAATACATGTATGTGTGCAGTGTAATACAATACACTGTGGATTTATACAACATCTAAATGTGACCGCATCTCAGGACTCCGTACAGACACAGCGCGCAGATTTATTTTGCCGTGAGGCAGTCGGTCATCGGCAGAGGGCCTCAAAGGCCTTGACGAGAATAAGGGGAATGAGTCGACAGCAAATATGGCTGGGGGAAGGGAGTTCCAGACAATGGGCGCAGCAGAAGAGAACGAGTGACCTCCCACTGAATTTGGGTTGATTGGTGAATTCAACAACATGTCCTGGTTGCTTGAGTGAGGAGTGCATGGAGGCCCGGCCTTGGACGATCTCGTCGAGTAGAGTACAATACTTAATTTTCTACCCTCCGTCACGTCGGAAACTAACACCGGCACTGATCATTTGCAAGCACACGCGCAGCACCAATGTTGAATGCTGCGGGTCAAAACACAAATACCAAGGGCGACACCCCATCAGACATTACGACGGCAGGCAAGCTTCTGGGACATCCCCAGCTCATTATTTTTTAATACATTTACATAATCGCGGTGTGTCCTGGGCTGTGACAATTGAAAGGTTCGTTATTGAGTAAAAGTAAAAGTCGAAGGACATGAGAGTATTCGCATAGTGACAAGCTCAGCTGCGTTATTTTTGTAGTCTGTAATGTCACCTGAAAAATAGCAGCTCATCTATTTAATGGGATCTTGTATGTTAATGCATGCCTACCAACCGCAATCGGTGTGATGTCACGAAACTGAACCCATTTACAAATCTCAGAACACTCTGCCACATGTATCAAGCGGCCTTCAGAAGCGATTTTTTCCCAGGTGGACTACTTTCCTACAAGCTCTTCTATAAGATTTTCACAGGGCAGTCAAACCGATAGTGGAGTTGGAATTTACTCAAATCAAGATGCAAAACCCAACGTAACGCAATGGTGCCTGGGCCGAGATCATCAACACGTGGTTATCTGGATTCAAACCCAGGCTCTCGGTGGGACCTGTGAAATACTCTGACCTCTGGGCTACTGGGTAAACTCCTGGGTTGTCGAGGCGTTTGCACTGGAGTCACGTAGTTGGAAAAGGCTTTAAGCATCATGTCTGTATGATGCTCTGTTGGAAATCTCCAGGATAAATAAATGTTTCAGTTAATCACCGTTCGGTATGCTTGATTACACCCACGTGCACACGCACATACACACGCATTCAAGGGGAGGTCAACTTTTATCAAAACAAAGGTTCTAAAAAAAAACACACACACAAGGTCATGCCAACTAAAATGTTTGGTAAAGAGGTGAAAAAGCCATCGCGGTCAACGCCTTCACCTGCTTCGATTTGCTTTTCCGCGCAAGTGCCGTGCAGTCGGCACGCAACCTCAAAGATCTACTCTCTAAGGCGAATGTTTATTAAGTGTCAGGCTAATGTTGGATTTCATTTGTTTGTATATATTTACGAGCTACAGGAGCGGTAGTGGAGCTGCGAGCGCACTGCGCTACGAACCCGGCGACCCGAATTCGATTCCCGCTCGTGGCCAACACCAGTCGTGGGCCTCCCCTAGGTCTACTCAGCCTCAATTGAGTACCTGGTGCGGTGGACGGGCGTGGTTCTGGCCACCAACACCCCATCATGTGCCGTACCGGCCTTCACAGGTGCTCGCAAACAGCACTTGTCTCCAAAAAATTTGTCAAGGCGATACGGGGGATCTTAGTCATCGCCACAAAACCGAAAGTTACGCAACGTGTGGAGAGTGGTGGAGACAGCTCTGTCCTATAATCCCAGATATTTGTGTTTGATTACCGGCGATGGCTTGCATCAAGTGGCACGTGGCGTGCGACCGAACTCGCACTTGGCCTCCACTCGTTCCACTGGCCTTCAATGTGGCGCGTTAAAAAAACAGCGCCGGCGTGACAAAGGTGGCTACACATCCAAAATTGTGTGCCCTGCCGACCTTAATAGGTGTTCGCAAACAGCACTCGCCCGAAAGGCCTATAATGATACTCAACCGATCCGTCTTTGTATGTGCACGTGTGGGTCCACAGCATGGGTGCAGCGACTAAAGACCCAGACACCCGCACATACGTCACTTACGAATGCAACCACAGTGACTCAACCTCAAAATTAAACTGTAGTGTCACTTTGAAAACCTCAAACATTTCCTCCTGCCAAAAATAATCCGCAAAAGCCAAGAAACGTCTCTTCTCGCATCATCGACATTCTCATTGGCTACACAACACTGTCGTGTGTAACCAGCAGGCATTTAGACCGTGCCAATTTTTTTTGCTTTTACAAAGCAAGAATTTTACAAAGCTCCAGATGCCCAAGTGGATTGTTCTATATTACAAACCGCTTGGTAAGCAGAGCAGCAGGGCTATACAGTTCTGACGATCCCTCATAACAATAACAACAGTAATGTAATTTGTACAAAAATTACCACGCTGCCTAACCGCTGTGAAATGTAACGATGCCACGCCTACAGCCGTCTTCAAGGCCGGCGTCTCAAAGCGCGGGTGCATTGTATGTACATGAGCGTGCTCTCAGGGCGGCTTGCAAGGTACTGTGGGGGTTATTTTCTCACCCACCCACCCCCCCACCCCCCTCCACGGTGCCTTGTAAGGTCAGCCAAAAGCACCTTTTCAATATTAGTGTGGATTAAGAGAGGGCACATCTTAAAAAAAAAAAGAAACGGGCCCTCTGCAGCAGGAAAGCTCAGCTGCTGAGTGAGGGCGGTGTGTTGGCCACGCCGTAATTGGCGTGCTGGAGTCGCGTGGGATCGTGAGCCGCGTTGGGCTCCATCGGCAAGACGTCGCCGCCGCCCTTCGGCAGATAAAATCCGCTCAGCTGGGAGGCCAAGGAATCCTTTGCCTCCTTTTCAACCTGCGGAGAGAGATCAAGAAGAGGTCGCGTCAGCATCAACGCTGTCGACCTGATTACAACCTCGCCACCGCTCCCAAGTGGACCCCCCGTACTCCAAGGTCGGCTCGTGCAGTCCCCCCAGCACGTAACGTTCTGACCCCGTGCCCCGACTGGACATTTGTGAAAAGGAGCTTGATAGCTCAGCGGATTCCTCCTCCAGTATAAACAAATATTCAGATTCTGATCTCAGTTTAGGGTTTCCCCCTTGGTCACCGACCCCTCGGTGGCTGTCAAATGTCTGTCGTCTCAATGATCCCCCGTGTTAACTTGGCATTCAAATGTATCGCTTTGGCAAAAAGTTAAATAATCACCTCTTTGACCTTTGCTTTTGGCGGTTCATGTGTCGAGCGATGCTTTGTGAGCTTTTGCTGTAAGAAAATTAAAAGAAAACACATCATGACATCATCATCATTATTATTATTACCATCACCGCCACTATCACCATCACCAAAATTACTATCTTCACCACCACCGTCACCACGATCATTACCACCAACAACTACAGCAGCCAATCACCATTAAGTGGCATCAATGTCACCACGGCGCTTGTGACAGGCCAGGTGCACTCCAAGGCCACGTAAGTGAAGTATCGAAAGCTCGCTGACAGAAGGTCACGGGACAGACCCAGGGTGCAATGGGTTGACTGAACGAGAGGACTGGCAGATGTGCCGACTGTGCCCCTCACTGTGCCAACTTGCTGCATTTTAGTCGTCCGGCAACTCCGCTCGTTGTTGTGAGCGTCACTCCTCTGCCCTCCGCTATTGTTGGAGGGCGACTGCCTCCAACTGTCCAGCAGCATCCTTCACGAGCCTCCTCCAAAAAGGCTGATCTTGACACCGCTGGTACCAGTCTTCAGCAAGTGCACTCAGCTACACATTCCCCTGTACTGCATCAGTCCATTTCTTCTCCAGCCCATGCCATGCTCATTTAGCTCCCTCTATCTGGCCAAACAGAAGCTGCTTGGACATGCAGTGGCTCGGCATGTCGGCTACAGGACCCAGCCAACACAGTCTTGCCTGCTGGACAAGCTTACTGATAGTAATATGTCCAGTTCTATCTATCTAGGATTTGCAAGCTCACACAATCCAGTCTGGTTACACCCTGGATGGATCGTAGGCAGGCCAACCTGAATGTTTCTCACCAGGCGAAGATGTTCCATCAGGGGGGTCCATGTTTCGAAAGCATAGAGAAGGGAGGGCATGATTGTTTCCACGAACACCTGAAGCTTCGTGTGGAGCAACAGACCAAGTAGCTTCCACACAGCGTTACGCAGCTTAGAAAAATATCATGTGGCTCGGTTGATTCAGAGCGAGATCTCTGCTGCCAAACCAGAGCTGGTCACGAGCACACTATCCAGGTACGGAAAATTATCCACTCGCTCCACAACTGTCCCATCACTCATGGGGAGTTGAGGGGGTGTAGTTTTGGTAGAGCTGATGGTAATACCCCATCTCTTAATGACATGCTCCAGATTCAGTAGCAGAACCTCCAATTCCTTCTCTGAGCATAAGCGTACATAACATGGTTGACAAGTTGGAAGCCATCCCTTGACTGCACCCAGGCATCGATCAGCCTCCCATAGTATCTGTACCAGATAGAAATTTCACTGGTATAGTCATAGGAAAGCTTTTCGAGCTACATGGTCAAATATGATGTTAAATAAGATGGGAGCCAGAGGACATCCCTGTCGCACCCCGACGTGAAGAGGGAATGGCTCCAACGCCCAGCGACGCAATTTTACCTCGGCCTGCCCACCATCATCAATGAAGGTCCTTAATAATCAACGTTTTTGGGTTTAGATCGCGTTATTTATAAATGTGTCGTAACCCTCCACCACCTGACACGGCCAATCAGTAAAAATGTGTCACGCACGGACATTTTTACTGATTGGCCGTGTCGGGTGGTGGAGGGTTACGACACATTTATAAATAACGCGATCTAAACCCAAAAAACGTTGATTATGAATAACATTGGTCGTGAAAGCCTACGTGTTAAACTGAAGGTCCTTAATGATTGGAAGGATCGAATCAGGGCCCCCGAAAGCACGAAGAACATCCTAAAGCCCAGGTCTACTGATGGTATCATAGGCCTTGACCAGGTCAATAAAGCAGAGATGTATGCCCCTTTGAAATTCCTTCGAGCTCTGTTGTAGCAGACGGACGGAGAATATGGCATCCGTCCAGGACCGCTCTGGCGTGAAACCACATTGGGGCTCCGCAAGCCTCTCCTCAGCGTGCTTGGCAAGGCGATGTTGAATAATCCTTGCCAGGACCCTTCCCAGAACACTGAGGAGGGAGATGCCCCTATAGTTGTTACAATCTGTGCAGACTGCACACCAGGGCACCCTTCCAATCCCGTGGAACCCGTCCTGTGGTCCAGAGAGTTGTGATGATGTCATGTAGGAGTCTGCACACAGACACCACCCTCCCTCAGCAGCTTCGCTTGGGGGATCATCTCCGCCCGGCACTTTTCCTGGTCTCAGACTCCCGATCGCCACCACCAACAACACCGATCGTCACCACCACCACCACCACAGCCATTATCACCATCTCCACAACCATCAACATCACCACCATCACCATGACCATCATCACCTTGGAGGTGAAGGCTTTGTAGCAACCGGGCTCCTGGCACTGGTAGGGCCCCATGCCGTGGTGGTGCGCCAGCACGTGGTAGCGCAGCATCGACGAGGTGGTGTACGCGCGCCCGCACTCCGCCTCGGGGCAGTGGAACATGGGCCGATTGGCGGCGTGGATCCACTCGTGCTTGCGCAGCATGTCGATCCGCCGGTAGCCGTGCCCGCACACGGAGCACACGTGCTGAGCTGCTCGCGCGGACACGCACGGACACGCGCGGACACGCACGGGCACGCACGGGCACGCACGGACACGCACGGACACGCACGGACACGCACGGTTTGCGGGAGAGCAACACGCACACATATCTGCGTGGTGTTGGCCATCCACCCCCTTGTGTGCCATGCAGGCCTTCATTAGGTGGTCGCTAATAGCACTTGCCCCAACAGTCTGTTAAGGCTATATGGGGGGGATCTTTGCCTTTGTTCTGTGAGAGGTTAGCACTCTGTGCTACGAACCCGGCGACCCGAGTTCGATTCCCGCTCATGGCCAACACCAGTGACGATTATCTGAACTGGTCTTAGGCCTTCCCTAGGTCGACTCAGCCTCAAATGAGTACCTGGTGCGGTGTGAAAGCATAGCCACTGGGGAGACATAGTGCTGGCCACCCACCCCGTCGTGTACCGTTCCGGCCTTCATTAGGTGCTCGCTGACAGCACTTTCCCCAACAGTCTGTTAAGGCTACACGGGGGATCTTTGTCTTTGTGAGGACGGCAGCACGTTTGCTGATTGCTGCAGAGGTTCGTGGTTCGAATCCGGCTGGCCGCCCTGGTTATTACTGTGGCGGTGTGTCTCCGCTGTGCACTACTACTACTACTGCTACGTGTCGTCAGCCTCACAGTGGATGCTCAAGATCCCGGGACGTCATCCAAAGTGGCCAGTAGGCCATTGTTCACTGGTTTCACGGCCCAAATTTGACATTTCTAATTACCTGCAAATGACTCGATTGGGATTAATTAGACAGAGCAGCATCGACAACCCCCCCCCACCCCCCCTCTCTACCATGAAACTGCAGCAGTGTCTGTGAAACACTGCACACTCGTGATGGCATGTATTTCTGCACTTGCGTGCATGCATGCAAATGCAGGAGAATACACACATGCGCACACACACACGTGTAAATACACACACACACGTGTAAATACACACACACGCGTGCACACGTTTGTGCGTGTGCATGCAAATAAATGTACGCTTACGTTAACGAATGTACAAATATATGCACAGGCGTGCAGGTAAAGGCACGTGCATGCATGCACTCAATGCACAATTCCACCCACGCGCTTACAAACTAAAGCGCACAGAATGCACAGGCGCACGCAAGTGCACACAGAATGCAATGCAAGCTCATACGTGTACGAACGCACAAGGATACAGACTGGCAAATACGTGTACGAACGCACAAGGATACACACTGGCAAATACGCATACACGCGCGCACGCACACGGACGCTCGCACGCACACAGGTGAACCAACGCAGCGGCACGCGCGCAGCTGCGTGTGTGCGCGCTCTTAAAAAGGCGAGCAAGGAGCGCAGCAGGCGTTCAGCATGATCCGCCAAACCCCCCGGCCCGGGCAGGTCGCTTACGTTCTTCGCTGTGAACCTGCTCGTGCCGCGTCCGTCTGCTTGGGAGCATGAACGCCTTGTCGCAGCCTTCGTAGCGACACCTGACACGAACACACACGCGCGCACACACACACACGAACACGCACACACACACACACACACGAACACACACACACGAACACACACACACACGAACACACACACACACACGAACACACACACACACACGAACACACACACACACACGAACACACACACACACACACACGAACACACACACACACACGAACACACACACACACGAACACACACACACACACGAACACACACACACACGAACACACACACACACACAAACACACACACACACGAACACACACACACACGAACACACACACACACACGAACACACACACACACACGAACACACACACACACACACACACACAAACACACACACACACACGAACACACACACACACACGAACACACACACACGAACACACACACACACGAACACACACGCACGCGTAATCAGGCGTCGCCACCTCTCCGACCCGTGTCCTTAAGTTTCGGCTCGGCTCGGGCTTGACTCTGGCTCAAGTGAGCTGTAGCTCAAAGCATTTCACCTTTTATCTTTACGATTTTTGATTTTACCAGGTAAGGCCCATGGAGCTATATAGGTACTTTTCATAAGCGACCTGGCCACAAATGATAGCTCAACGAAGTGGCTTATTACGTGGACATTTATATCAGCAGGCAAATACTTTAAACGCACGTTCCTAAATGTGGAGGGAAAAACGAGAGGACCCGGAGAAAAATCCACGCGGCCACGAGGAGAGAGAGACACACAAACCCAAAATATAAGCAGGTGCCAGGGTTGGAATACAATCCCCGACCTCCTGTATACCAGGCAAGGGAGTAACATCTCCTAGCCACCACGGCTCAAGCCTGCGACGAGTCGCGTTGGAGGGCAAGCCAGAGCCGAGCCGTGACTAAGAATACGGCCCTCAGCCCGAACGGGCACAACTCAAGCAATGCGCCACCACTCCACACACCAGGAGCAGGGGGAGCAATAGCCACGGTATGCGTGCCAGGGCTAGGTGGGACTTGAGGGGAGGGAGAATGGTGAAGGCTTCCCTCCTGAACGGAACTGACAGCTGTGGAGGAGTGGCCGATTCAACAACCTCTGGAAGCTCGCTGTGCCTGATTAAAAAAATATAAAAACAACGAGCGCAGGAGCGGTTGACTCGTCAAATGAGCTGGATAGGCAGGCCGTCAAGGGAGTGTCCAACTTCCCAACGGACAAGCAAGGAGATGGCAGCACAGCAAGCTGGTCCAGGGCGAGCACACCTGTGCAGGCTTTTTTCAGCCAGCGGAGCAGAAGATCGCGTGCTGCGCTGGGAGCCTGGCTACCCGAGTTCGATACCTGGGCACGGCTAACATCAGCGGGGCGAGTGATACCTGAGCAGGTCCGAGGGCCACACTCTCGTGAGCCGCGCTGAGCAGCGAATGGACAAACAAGCCTGGTGACCGACAAGGCGGGGAGGGGAGGAGGCCTTGACCCAGCAGTAAATTGACAAAACGCTGAAAATTACTAATATTTAAACTGTTGTATTATCGCAGATAGATGACTCTCATTAATAAGGAACTGTAACCTTGGTTCTTTCGGTAAAGTCACGTAAAAGGGAAATGATAAAATAATTAAAAATATGTAAAACAAGAAAAATTCTCACGACGTTTCGACTGCAACACACCTGGTGATGATTGCTTGTGTTGCAGTCGAATCGTCGTGAGAATTTTTTTTGTTTTATATTTATATTATTTTATTATTTCCCTTCTACGTGACTTTACCGAAAGAACCAAGAATATGAATCCCTGCAGTCACGAAAGCTTTAAATCGAAATTTTATGTTTTATTTTTTATTATTTTATTATTTCCCTTCTACGTGACTTTACCGAACGAACCAAGAAAATGAATCCCTGCAGTCACGAAAGCTTCAAATCAAATAAGGAACTGCTCAAAACTCCCCAATACAGGACCCGCCCCAAACAAAATAAGTATAACCAGTAAAAACAAAGTTTTTCACTATCAATCCTTTATATGCGTGGCGGCTAGAGTCCTCTCGTCCTCTGGCTTGAGATGGCTGCCACCTATGGGTCAGATGATTGCATTGCACCATTAAGCAATTGATAATTAAATATAATATTTTTGTCCTAAAAAGTGTAAAATTTTGGAAACAAATTTTCACGAACATTAATTGTCACGCACAACGAGTCTGTGTGCAAAATGTCAGCTCGATTGGATCACGGGAAGTGGGTTAAAAAACGACCGAAAGATTTAATATAAAGGATTTAAAAATCGACAGAATGATTATTACTTAAACCTGCAGGTGGGTCTCGCGCATCGCCGTGGCTCAATCCCTACATGACCCACCAACCCCACGTCCCAAGTTTAAGTATGTGCCGCGACCACCACGAAACCCGGCAGACGAACGACCCACGGCAACTTGCATGGCACAAAAACGAAGGAACCACCACGCTGGCGGCTGGACTTACCGAAACGGCAGCGTCTTGGTGTGGACAACCTGGTGTATTTTCAGCTGGTCTTCCGTTTTAAATCTCAAGCAGCAGTTTTCGTATTCGCACTGCAAGAGACATGGAAGCGGCAGAGAAACATGCCATTGTGTTCACAAACCAAAACTGACGGTCCATGTCAACCGAGAAAATTTTCTTGTGGAGGCGGCCCGGTGGCTCAGCTGTCAGATGCCTGATCCAGCACCGCTGAAAACCCATCGCTTAAACTCCAGGCAACTATTAATTTTACCAGGTAAGGCCCGCTGAGCTATTTCACTCTTTTTCAGAAGCAACGAAGCGGCTGATCATGAGGGAATTTCTAACAATCAAATACTCTAAACGTGTGATGTTGTTTCTAAATGTGGAGGGGGAAACTGGAGGACCCGGAGAAAAATCCACATGACCACGTCCAAAGAGAACATGCAAACTCCAAACGTACAACAGGCGTCGTGGGATTGAACCCACGACCTCCTGCATACCAGGCGAGGGAGTAAAACATCTCGCCACCGAGATGGTTCTCAAGTGAAGGGAGTTGGTGGTCTCAGGCAAGTCCCCAACGAGAACGAGGCAATAACAACCACACAAAACGTTGGTTCTGCCCTTAATATGGATAAATTCCAGCTCTAAGAATTAACACCATTACCCTCAGTGACAGAGCATAGTGTGAAAGTGCTCCCCCCCCCCCCCTCTACTGTGTAGAACAGAGGTCACTTGATGGGATCTTAGAGGTAGCTCTTTGATATCCACTTTCTTGAAGCCGGGCGGTGGTAGGGCTCTGCACGTGGCCTGCAATCCCGCACTGTGAAGGTAGCGAGGGTTGGTGGAACGCCGCACACAAATCATGTGAACTTCCCTTCGTGCGGGCATTGAGAAGTGGATTGCCCGCCATCTATTTCCATCTGTACGGGGATAGAGTGTTGCCCCCTCGCACGCATGGGCTTTCTCCCACTAGAATAAACGCACCGTCTTTAATTGGCGGTCATCCTCGCAGTGGCTTTTGGGCTAGCCATCGAACAAAGACTGCATCGCACGCTTTCAGATGTGCTTCTGCGGCCGTCTGGAACGCTCTTAATCCTCGATATTAGGAAGGCACTGGAGCTATGCACTTTTAAATCATCTAGATTGACAACTAATTTGTTTAGAGCTGCTTTTTGTTGTTAGTTTGTTGTACTTCCCCCGCACCTCCGATTCACGCGGTTGGCTACGTACGGTGCGAAAGAAGTTCAACATACGTACGTACGTGAAAAAATCTGCGACTCTTCTGGATAAATAAGTAAACTATTATGATTGTTATTATGTTATCTAGCGCAAAGGGTTGCATAGGTCTGTAAGAGATCCAATTGGATACTCAATCTCATGAAATGGTGTCCACAGCACAACCAGGGCACAATTGGGGCAAGAGGATGAATACAAAGTTAGAATTATTTGTCGGTGTGTCGGCGATTATTGAAGATAAATACATAACACAATGGTTCTCTCTTTTCTGATGAATGTGACTTGGACTCGATGATACTCATGGGTGACTCTTGCCTATGACTGCAGCCTACTTAGTGGTTTTTGCTCAAGAGGTCACACCTTGTTGATCAGGATCAGAAATGCCAAATGCTGGCAAAGCACATCTTTGACTGGTGCATTCATCTATTCATTTAATCTGTTGATTCGCCCCCAGCATTTATATTTTCACTTATGACATACAATCCACAAAGACGACACAAAATCCACATTACTAAAATATAAATGCCATTCCATCAAAGGTTATATTACACCAATATGGGGGAGGTCAAGAATACGCATAAATATACAACAAAGACCCCCCCTATAGCCTCAACAGACTTTTGGGGTAAATCCTGCTAGCGAGCACCTGTGAAGGCCAGCACAGCACACGAGGGGTTTGACGGACCAACACCACGCCCGACTGCCTTTGTCTCCATCGTGTCGATGTTTACACACCGCACCAGGTACTCATATGAGGCCGAGTCGACCTAGGGGTGACCCAGGACCGGTTCAGAAAATCTTCACTGGTGTTGGCCACGAGCGGGAATCGAACTCGGCTCGTAAGGCTCCGTAGTGCAGCGCGCGGTTCGCGTGCACACCAAACTCACAACGCGTACAGTGCACAGCTGCACTCCGCTAATCCGAAGATGGTGCGGAGCCAGCTGCCTCTTTAATCCACCAGACCTCGGAGATGTCTAATTGTGATTTTAAGAAATTGTGGCGGGCACACCGGGGCGACAGCCGAGAGGGTGGCGCAATTGCGGCGCCAATTAAACCGCACGCGAGAGGAGAGCTGTAGCGCCGTCGTCCGCGGACGGTGTTTTGCGCTCGCAAGTGAACCGTGCTCGTTGCAGCAGTTTCGCGACGATCGCCCAAAGCTCGTCAGCTTCTAATTAACGAGCGCTAATCACGCCAAGCTCTCTCAACAAATCAACGGCTGTTATTTAAGACCAAGGTCGGAGGGTCCCGTTTGGTTGGGGGAATTGCACGGGTGTCCGCGTATGCGTGGAACAAAGTTGGTTCGACATCTGTTGCGAATTAAAGACTCGTGCAACAAAGCGAATGAAACATGACAACATAATTAAACACCCACAGTGACCAGCGCGGTGAAGTATGATCATTGACCCCACCCCCCTAACTACCACTGGGTGGAGAGGCCCTTCGTCTGGGAATGGACGATTTTAAATATTTCAATTTAAGTGAACGCATCTCTCCCAACACAAACGAACTATGAGGGTGGCTTCCATATCCACATTCCCGTGGCAGGGACAAGTGTTTGCACATGAGGACCCACTCACTGCTTTTATTCTCACAAATAATGGGTAATTGCATGGAATTCAGAAGGGATGATGAGCTACCAACCGGGGTATGAACAGATGTCTATGCCAGCAGTTGAACTACACGAATTCAATCAAATTGAAACAAATTATTTGGCGAGACTGCGAAAATAACAATTCAACTGGACACCTTCGTCAACGACACTGTGGCCCTCGGAGGGAGAGGCGTACAACAGGCGGACGTTGTGGGGTAATTGCCCTCCTTCGCACCTCACAAATAGCAAGGCCAGAGAGCTGGAGACTGCACGTTACACCATGGGGACCTGAAAGTTTTTTACATTTAAACAAAAATGTTTCCCCAACGGCAGTTTATAAATTGGCATATTAATTAGTGGCTCTGGACTTTTGAATAATCTCGATTGAAAACGAATATCTTTAGAACTGTGTTTAGTTTATTGTCCTTCCCCGCCCCTCCGATGAGCACGGTTGGCTACGTACAGTGCGAAAGAAGTCCAACATACATATTGCATACAAGCTGCAAAAAGCATTCACATTCGTGAGTGCCAAACCGACATTCACCGACACTGTCAAGGTGTGGCGCCCCTATCATTGCGGATTAGAGGGCGTGCCCTCGCTTCTGTTAACGCTTATAAGCGCCACATTCCACACAACCCAAAAGGCACTCGCCACGACCACCATCAACAAGGTTGCTTCACAGCACGGCCATGTACGGAAGGTTGACCATGTGGGCAAGGAATTGCACTTGATAACGAGTTGCCCGGAAGAACACAGTGGGCTATTTGAATGAAAAGTGTCGGGATGTCTGAAGACTCGATAAATTTGATTTTTTTCTTCTTGGTTTTTTCGGTAAAGTCACGTAGAAGGGAAGTAATAAAATAATAAAAATAAAACATAATACAATAATTCTTACGACGTTTCGGCCACAACGCAAGCAGCCGTCCTCAGGTGAAACCAGGTCTGTCGAGACTTTACCGAAAAAACCAAGAAGATGAATCCCTGCAGTCACGAAAGCTTTAAATCGAAATTTGATATTTATATATGAACATGGCTGCTCTCTCTACTGTGAACAAGGGCATTGCCCACATGAGCCTGTTTCAATATTTTACTTTTCTAAGAAAGTATTAGGAATAAGGTGGGGTAATGTGGCTCGTGCACTGCACTATGAACGCGGTGACCCGAGTTCAATTCCTGGTGATGGCCAATATCTGAAATGTCGGGTGAAATCCAAATCGACCCCTGGGTTTCCCACTTTGCCAAGCCGCAACTGACCAGCATGGTGAAGTATGGTTAGACTACCCCCATCTAGACACAGCATGGGGTGGCCGTCATCCAGCAGTGGATTGACGGAGTGCTATAAAGGATGATCGTCGACAAAGGTTGTGCATTTGTGTCGGTGCGTTTACAACACGTCCAAAAGTTATTAAAAAAACTAGCCCCGCTATTGAAATGTGGAATTGCCACCAGTGGCTCAAGGCAATAAATGGAGATGAGCAATGCCTGACAGTTTCTGAAGCAGCGAGACACATCAGCTTTGGTTCTGACCAGTGCTTACACAAAGTCGTTAAATGATTAGTAAACTTTCATTTAAAGCTTTCGTAACTGCAGGGATTCATAATCTTGGTTCTTTCGGTAAAGTCACGTAGAAGGGAAACAATAAAAAATATATAAAACAAGAAAATTCTCACGACGTTTCGACTGCTACACAAGCAATCATCATCAGGTGTGAAATCCACAGCAAGAAAAAACGCCACTTTTTTCAAATTTTCTTGCTGTGGTTTTCACACCTGATGATGATTGCTTGCTTGTGTTGCAGTCGAAACGTCGTGAGAATTTCATTGTTTAATATTTTTTATTATTTTATTGTTTCCCTTCTACGTGACTTTACCGAAAGAACCAAGAATATTAGTATCCTTGTTTAGTCTTTTCCCCCCCCAATTATATTCCATTTGTAGTTTCTGCATCGTGTCCTACAGTGGAGAATTACCAATTTGGAGCTCACGCAGAACAGTGCATTGCCCCGTTATAGTGAAAGGCACGCAGACTCAAACCTCAGAGAACTACCTCTGAGATCCGTTCACGTGACCTCTTTTAACAACACACAAGGAAACGCACTTTCCCCACACGAATCGCACCTCCGATAGTTAGCACAGTTGGCTACGTACAGTGCGAATGGAGTTAAACGAACATATATGCTCCAAATAAATGTTCACAGCATTACCACCAAAATTTTACATTCGGGGCTGGAATTTATCCCATGTAAGTGCAGAACCAATTGTTCTAATTGTTTATGTTGGTGACCATTGGTGACCAAGCTGAGACCATTAACTCACGACACTTTAGAACCCAGTTTAATCACAGGTGCCTGAAAAAACGCGGGGAGCGGTAATATAGTGGTCAGCGCGCTGCGCTATGAACCCGGCGACCCAAGTTCGATTCCCATTCACGGCTAACACCAGTGACGACCATTTGAAACGGTCCTGGGTCTCCCCTAGGTCGACTCAGCCTCAAATGAGTACCTGATGTAGTGTGTAAACACCGCCACTGGGGAGACAAAGGCGGCCGGGCGTGGTGCTGGCCACCCACCTCCTTGTGTACTGCTCCGGCCTTCATAGGTGCTCGCTAACAGCACTTGCGCCAACAGCCTGTTAAAGCTCCACGGGGGATCTGCGTCTGTTGTTGTGTGTTGTGCCTGAAACCCCCACCTGAACTCAGGATGTTACCATTGCTGGTTCAGTTCTCGGACCATTGAGCCACCCGGCCACGTCAACGCAGTTCCTAATGAATGTGTAATGTGAGCGCTGCACACGTCCCACCCGGCACTCCATACCTGGTAGATCTTTTCGGGGTTCTCGTGGTTGTTCCGGATGTGCCGCATCAGGTTGGATCGCAAGGAGAAGGCCTCATTGCAGCCTTCATACTCGCAGCTGCCAATGAACACAACACAACACAATGAACACAACACAACCCAATGAGCAAACGTAACCACGATTGATGCAACGATGACGTAGATCTTCTTGGTTCTTTCGGTAAAGTCACGTAGAAGGGAAGTAATAAAATAATAAAAATAAAACATAATAAAATAATTCTCACGACGTTTCGGCCACAACGCAAGCAGCCGTCCTCAGGTGAAGACCAGGTCTGTCGGGGAGACAGACCTGGTCTTATTTTATTATGTTTTATTTTTATTATTTTATTACTTCCCTTCTACGTGACTTTACCGAAAGAACCAAGAAGATGAATCCCTGCAGTCACGAAAGCTTTAAATCGAAAGATGCCGTAGATGTCACCACACATCGCCAACGCGCTCTTACTTACACTGTTTTAGAGTGAACATACGACGTAGAAGGTCCGCTCTGACACTAAACCATCTTTGAACATCACGATTAGGTACTTAAGTACAAGAACTGGAGTTGAACATAGCAGTTAGAGAAGAAGCTTCTGTACACCGATTCCAGATGCCAGCCAATGAAGCTACGGACAGTCATTTCTGGACAAAGTAAGCAACTTCCAAGTTCAGAATGGAATGTGACTGGTAAGTGTTGTGGACATCGCCAGGAAGAGGAAGTTGCATTGGGTGCGACACCCGTGCAGGATGGAGCAGGGCAGGTTACCAAGATGGACATCGGCGTGGCAAGGAGAGGTAGTTGACCCAAAAGGGAAGCGCTAAACCCAGACGATGGGAAAAAAATAAGTCAGAGTGAACCCTGGAGGTCAGATGTTGACGGCATCAACGGCGGTGAAAACCTCTGCACTAAAGTTCACAAACACCGCAGCACGTTTTGCCCCAGGTCTCTCGTGGAAATCGGGCGACACTCTCAGCAGGTTCTCACACCGGGCGAAGTAAAGGATGAGGGACTTACACGTGTGGCTTCTCTCCCGTGTGGCGCCGCATGTGGTTATCAAAGTGCTCCTTGCGCATGAACGCTTTGCTGCAGCCGGGCACCTCGCACGCAAATGTGTTCTGTCTCGCAGAGCACACACAAACACCGCGTGTTAATCAGCCACACGAAGAGCGCACCGTCATCAATATTGTTGTAAATGAATATTGAACAGACAAGAAATGCAGATCTTAATGTAAAGTAACTTTTTCTAAAACGTTTTTCTTTTCCCCCAATTGTGCTGTCGGTGCCATGTTAAAAGATGACGACAACCGTTTTTCTTCGTTCAAAAACCACCTAAAGGTGCATCATCTCTTCGGCTCGACATTTGACCGAGTCTCACCAGACCGCGTGACGCGACCTGACACTGAGCTCCACTCCGCGCCTCAGAATTGCGTCTTCAGTCCACAACTTTGATCGCTTCATGAATTGTATTGTTATATAATTATCCATCCAGATCTCGAGCAGAGCAGTGTGGCCCTTTATGCTTGAGAACGGCCCACAGAAGCAGATATAAGAGAGCTATCTCAAGAGATTCCTTCAAATGACATCTGGTCCACACGGCACGGGGAAACAATTTTCCACCTGCGATGCCACTGAGGCGGGTAAAATTTCGTAGTCAAGTCTAACATTTAATTCCCAGGAACTGGAATTTCATGAAATTAAGTGCAGAGCCAAATTGGTAGGAACCCACTGGTTCCACCAGCCCACAGAGGATTATTGTGTCCGTCCGTCGTGCAGGAAGGGGCTGGGTGGGGAGGGTGGGGCTGGGTGCGGAGGGGCTGGGTGGGGAGGGGCTGGGTGGGGAGGGTGGGGCTGGGTGGGGGGTGGGAGGGGTGGGGCTGGGTGGGGAGGGGCTGGTCACCCCATGGTGCCCTTATAAAACTCAACATTTAACCTACTCACGCCGGCTTGTGCCCGCCCTCACAGTCGGGCATATTTGCGGAATACACCACGCCGCCGTTGACCCTGGCCATTGACCGAGCAACCCAACGTTCCTACCAGCTCCCTCCGCAGGAATGTGTTTTTTTTGCGTGCAGACATCGGTGACTTGGGATGAAACCATCAACTCGCCACACTCAAGAACCCGGTTTAATCACAGGTATCACAGGGTATTGATGATTAATGTTCTCCAGCGGCATTTTTTTAAACGCAGATAAACCGTGGGCCAGTGTTGTCCTCTGGCAACTGTGACTCGCCGAGGACTATTAACGTTTAGCAAATCAAATGTCTGAATAACAAGACTGATCGAACTGCAACCTGAAATCAATAGCAATCATTCCGCTTTTTTTTGGTTTGGTCTGAAAAAATATGGCCATGAACCGAAACCTCATCTGCTGCTGAGATCGTGGCTTGTACTCACAAGGTCATGAGCCAGAGGTCGCAAACGGGTTTTTATTCCTTACCCGTACCCATACCCGGCCTCACCAAGGTCGCCAACGGGTACCCATACCCGTACCCGGCCGGGTATGGGTACTCGTACGCTACCCGTACCCGTACCCTACCCGAAATGAGTGACAAACGGTTACTCACCGGTGACTCACGGCCTACCCGTACCCGTACCCGGCCGCACCAGGGTTGCAAACGGGTACCCGTACCCGTGCCCGACCGGGTACGGTTAGCCGGGTATCGGGTAGGGTACGGGTATTGGGTACCCGGTTGCGACCTCTGTCGTGAGCCCATCTCCCAGTCACTGGTCGACTTGGCAAATTCATCCCTCTGGGTTCGATACCCAGAAGGAAAAAAAAGACTGCAGTTGTCGATGTCCAGCTGGACATGGGCTGTGCGAAGGTGGGTCCATTGGTTTGTTTGACCATACTTCACCACACCACACTGGCGAATGCAGGGGCGAGTGGGTGAATGGGGGTGAGGGGGTGTGGGGGTGGTGAGGCAGAACTGGTTTACTGTGGCCTTGGCCAAGTATTGAACGGAGATGCGTCTGGCTCAAAGTGGGTGTACGTTAACCACTGTGCCACCGCTCCCTTCTATACGGTGCATGTACATGCGTGCATACCTGTCAACCCCTTATCAGTGCCCGACCTTATCCAGACCTTATTGCTCACCCCGTGTCCCTTATAAATCTCAACGTTTATCCTGCAAAGTCCCATCATCACAAGGGAGAAACACAAACAAATAGACAATCACAACTACACTCACTGCGAGTACACTCACCACAACAAACCTGTCAACCCCTTATCAGTGCCCTACCTTATCCAGATCATATTGGCCACCCCGTGTCCCTTATAAATCTCAACGTTTATCCTGCAAAGTCCCATCATCACAAGGGATAAACACAAACAAATAGATAATCACAACTACACTCACTGCGAGTACACTCACCACAACAAACCTGTCAACCCCTTATCAGTGCCCTACCTTATCCAGATCATATTGGTCACCCCGTGTCCCTTATAAATCTCAACGTTTATCCTGCAAAGTCCCATCATCACAAGGGATAAACACAAACAAATAGATAATCACAACTACACTCACTGCGAGTACACTCACCACAACAAACCTGCCAACCCCTTATCAGTGCCCTACCTTATCCAGATCATATTGGCCACCCCGTGCCCCTGATACATCTCAACGTTTATCCTGCAAAGTCCCATCATCACAAGTGAGAAACACAAAACAGAGCAAAACAAATGCTTGCCCGGATTGTAACGGCTGTACACCGTATGGACCTCGAAACTCACTTTCCCTGTACACGAATCCGAGTAAACCGTGTGGGTTGACAGGTTTGTGCGTGCACCCATACCGCATAATCCGCACTGCGCGTGCATTCAGGTTCGTGTTTAAACGGATCGAGGTCGTCAGTCATCGTGCTAAGCAGCAGCAGCAGCAAAGACGCATTGTGGCATTGGCATAGGAACTCAAAATGAACAGAGACTCCAACGCTCACTCACATCAGCCACCGCGACCAAGATTTCAATGAATGGCTCCTGTCAACTGCAATGGGCAAGCGACTGAGTGAAGCGAGTGGCTCAAGGCGCCGCTCTGTGCGTCTAAATGGGACGAGTGGAGGGACGAGTGGACGGACGAGTGGAGGGACGAGTGGAGGGACGAGTGGAGGGACGAGTGGGGGGACGAGTGGGGGAACGAGTGGAGGGACGAGTGGAGGGACGAGTGGACGGACGAGTGGAGGGGCGAGTGGGGGGACGAGTGGGGGGACGAGTGGACGGACGAGTGGGGGGACGAGTGGAGGGGCGAGTGGAGGGACGAGTGGAGGGACGAGTGGACGGACGAGTGGGGGGACGAGTGGAGGGACGAGTGGGGGGACGAGTGGGGGGACGAGTGGAGGGACGAGTGGGGGGACGAGTGGGGGGACGAGTGGGGGGACGAGTGGGGGGACGAGTGGGGGGACGAGTGGGGGGACGAGTGGGGGGACGAGTGGGGGGACGAGTGGACGGGCGAGTGGGGGGACGAGTGGGGGGACGAGTGGAGGGACGAGTGGAGGGGCGAGTGGAGGAGCGAGTGGAGGGGACGAGTGGGGGGACGAGTGGGGGGACGAGTGGGGGGGCGAGTGGGGGGTCGAGTGGAGGGACGAGTGGAGGGACGAGGCCCATCGGGAACAGCCCGAGGGGTTGAGCTGCAGGGTCCGCGCGCCTCCTGCTCCCTCCTCAGCTTGGCGCGGGTGTGAAACGTCGCCAGTGGGCAGCTCGACGCAACGCTGCGTTGTGGTGGTGGTTGTTGTGGTGGATGTGGTGGTGGTTGTGGTAGTGATGGTGGTGGTGTTGGTTGTGGTGCTGGTGGTGGTTGTGGTGGTGGTGGTTGTGGTGGTGGTGGTTGTGCTGGTGGTTGTGGTGGTTGTTGTGGTGGTTGTTGTGGTGGTTGTGCTGGTGGTTGTGATGGTGGTTGTGCTGGTGGTTGTGGTGGTGGTTGTGGTGGTGGTGGTTGTTGTGGTGGTTGTGGTGGTGGTTGTTGTGGTGGTTGTGGTGATGGTGTTGGTTGTGGTGCTGGTGGTGGTTGTGGTGGTGGTTGTGGTGGTTGTGGTGCAGGTGGTGGTTGTGGTGGTGATGGCGGTTGTGGTGGTGATGGCGGTTGTGGTGGTGATGGTGGTTGTGGTGGTGATGGCGGTTGTGGTGTTGGTTGTGGTTGTGGTGTTGGTTGTGGTTGTGCTGGTGGTTGTGCTGGTCGTGGTGGTGGTTGTGCTGGTGCTGGTGGTTGTGGTTGTTGTGGTGGAGGTGGTGGTGATGGTGGTGGTGATGGTGGTGGTGATGGTGGTTGTGCTGGTGCTGGTGGTTGTGGTGGTTGTGCTGGTGGTGGTTGTGCTGGTGGTGGTTGTGCTGGTGGTGGTTGTGCTGGTGATTGTGGTGGTGGTTGTGGTGGTTGTTGTGGTGGTTGTGGTGGTGGTTGTGGTGGTTGTGGTGATGGTGTTGGTGATGGTGGTGGTGTTGGTTGTGGTTGTGCTGGTGGTTGTGGTGGTTGTGCTGGTGGTTGTGCTGGTGGTGGTGGTGGTTGTGGTGGTGGTGGTGGTTGTGGCCGCACCTCTCCCGTGTGCTTGCCCACATGCTCGCGCAGGTAGCGCTCCTTGTTGAACACCGCGTTGCAGTTCTCGAACGAGCAGATGTACAGCTTGCTCGGGGTCAGCTTGGCCGGCCTCGTCTTGGGCATCGCGACGCCTCCAGACGACGAGGAGAACGAGGAGAAGGAGGAAGAGGGGGAGGGAAGGAGGAAGGGAGGACGAGGAACGGGGAATCGCGGAGGAGGTTGAGGAGGAGGAGGCAGAGATGCAGTGAGGCGGCCCCTCTTCGTCTTCGCTTCCGTGTTGCCGGGCGAGTCCAATAACGGGGTTAGTGGAGGGGGGAGTCAAAGGAAAGTTCAATATCGATTTAAAGCTTTCGTGACTGCAGGGATTCATCTTCTTGGTTCTTTCGGTAAAGTCATCACGTAGAAGGGAAGTAATAAAATAATAAAAATAAAACATAATAAAATAATATAATAAAATTTAATAATATACTAAAATAATATTGTAATATTTTATTATAATATAATAAAATATAATAATATAATAAAATAATATACTATTATATTATTATATTTCGATTTAAAGATTTCGTGACTGCAGGGATTCATCTTCTTGGTTCTTTCGGTAAAGTCACGTAGAAGGGAAGTAATAAAATAATAAAAATAAAACATAATAAAATAATATAATTAAATAAAATAATAACATAATATTGTAATATTTTATTATAATATAATAAAATAATATAATAAAATAATATACTATTATATTATTATATTTCGATTTAAAGCTTTCGTGACTGCAGGGATTCATCTTCTTGGTTCTTTCGGTAAAGTCATCACGTAGAAGGGAAGTAATAAAATAATAAAAATAAAACATAATAAAATAATATAATAAAATATAATAATATATAGGGTAAGTTAATTCCAGCGGTAGGTAAATCAAGATTGAAAACTCATTTATTTAGAACTGACTTTTGTGTTTAGTTTGTTGTTCTTCCCTAGCACCTCTGATGAACACGGTTGGCTACGTACGGTGCGAAAGAAGTTCAACGTACTCATACATCTTCTTGGTTCTTTCGGTAAAGTCACGTAGAAGGGAAATAATAAAATAATAAAACACAATAAAATAATTCTCACGACGTTTCGGCCACAACGCAAGCAGCCGTCCTCAGGTGAAAACCAGGTCCGTCGAGGCGACAGAGTCTGAATGAAACAACCTGGTTTTCACCTGAGGACGGCTGCTTGCGTTGTGGCCGAAACGTCGTGAGAATTATTTTATTGTGTTTTATTTTTATTATTTTATTACTTCCCTTCTACGTGACTTTACCGAAAGAACCAAGAAGATGAAAGTTCAATAATTGAAATTATCGATCACATTTTTCAGTTTCATTTATTAGGTATATAGCCCTGTGGAGCCATTCGGCTCTTGAATCGGGTGCAACTGCAACAAACAAAAAACATGAACAAGAAAACATCTTAAAGTGACTCAGCGCAAACAGAAAAATCCAGGAAAAAATTGCAAAGTCTTCCAGAAAAAAAGAACCGCACACCAACGTTGTGCAAAAATCCCAGTGGGATGCAAATCAAACAACAACAACCACAAGACAACTTAGATTAATACTCTTAGGTTTTTTCGGTAAAGTCACGTAGGTAAAAATAAATGATAGAAATAATAGAAATTAATAATAAATAATAAAAATAATAGAAATTAAAATAAAATATTATTTTATTTCTATTATTAATAATAGAAATATAATAATTGAAATAATATTAAGTTTTGTGGGTAAAGTTACGTAGGTAAAAATAAATAATAAAAATAGAAATAATAATAGAAATAAAATTATATATTTTTTCTATTATTTCTATTATTTATTTTTACCTACGTGACTTTACCGAAATAACTTAGATTAAAGCCATCATTCTAACTCCGTATTACAACATCACAAAACATGGCCAAACCAAAACAACTTTTCGAAATCACCAAAATAAGGCCATAAGCATTGTCATAGGAACTGTGGCCGATTGCGAGGTCGCGATTAAGGGGTTTTTTTGGTGTTAATTCGTGAACGCGATGGAAGCCCGCCTATGATCACTGTTTCATCGCTTTCATGGCTTTATTTTGGTGATTTCGAAAAGTTTTTTGGTTTGGCCATGTTTGTTTGTTGTAGTACGGAGTTAGAATGATGGCTTTAATCTAAGTTCTTTCGGTAAAGTCAAGTAGGTAAAAATAAATAAGAAAAATAATAGAAATAAAATATTATAAAATATTATTAATAAAATAATATTTTATTTCTATTAGAAATATTTATTTCTAGAAATAAAATATTCTAAAATATTTTTAGAAATAAAATATTATTAATAAAATAAAATATTATTTCTATTATTATTTCTATGATTTTTATTATTTATTTTTACCTACGTGACTTTACCGAAAAAACCTAAGAGTATTCATCTAAGTTGTCTTATGGTTGTTGTTGTTTGACTTGCATCCCACTGGGATTTTTGCACACAGCGTGGGTGTACGGTGCTTTTTCTGCAATATTTTGCTGTCTTTTCTTGGATTTTCTGTTTGCACTCAGTCACATATTCACTTTAAGATGTTTTCTTGTTCATGTTTTTGTTTTTTTGTTTGTTGCGGTTGCACCCGATTCAAGGGCCGAATGGCTCAGAGGGCTACACCTAATCAATGAACTTGAACTTGAGATCACAGCTGGTGGCTCCCCCGGGTGGGATCTGACGCATGGCCGTGTGAGTGCAATCGATTGGAGGGAACAGTTCATCCAGCAGCTGTTGATCGAGCATGACCGACGATGCAGCGGAGTAATCGCAATGAGTTTCATTTGCCACGTGGAACGCGGTATTGTTTTGTATACGGTATTGTTAAACGCCGTTCATTCACCACTACGGCACTTGCAATAGGTTCGTTAAAGCCGGGTTTTTTTCCCTTCCCATTACCGGTATACGGTATTAATGTTCTTAGGTTTTTTCGTGGGTAAAAAATAATAAAAATAAAATAACAATAAATGAAAATAAATCTATTAAATCACGACGTTTCGGAGGCAACACAAGTCTCCGTCTTTAATTGATTTATTGTTATTTATCATTAATTAATTTATTATTTTTATTTTTCTTCGTGACTTTACCGAAACAACCTAAGAGTATGAATCCTTGAAGTCACGAAAGCTTCAAATCTAGAAAGGTATTAATGTTATATGTAATTAAGTCAATATCACAGTAATGTATTTATCATGATGGATATGCATTAACAGCACTTGCTACGGTATTACATACGAGGTCATTACATTATTTGGAAGTACATTTGATGTACCGTATATTTTAACAATACTTACAAATTAACGCGTCTTATATAAACACTTCAGTTAATTCCCTTAATACCAATCGACACTTGTGAAAAAAAACAATAATTAACATATTATTGGTTCTTTCGGTAAAGTCACGTAGAATGGAAATAATTAAAAAAGAAAATTATCCAACAATAATTGTTTTTATTTTATTTATAAAGATAAATGTTTTATTATTATTTTATTATTTTTATACAACAATCAAAATTAAATTTTATTTATAAAAATAAAACAAAAAAATATTATTTTATAACTTCCCTTCTACGTGACTTTACCGAAAGAACCAAGCATATTAATCCCTACAGTCACGAAAGCTTTAAATCAAAATTATTAAAAATCTCTCACCCCAAGTTCACGTGCATCGCCACCCCCACGACGCGAATGGTCTCTCCCGACGTCGTCATCAGCGTGCGTCACTCAAATCCCTACCACACACACGCAGCATCTCGCCCTCCCATTGGCCGCGAAAGCGACGCCTCGACCAATCACGACGCGGCTCGCCGTCGCCTCCGACCAATGAGCGGCGGGCGCACGCCTATCCGCTCTAGGTAATGCAAAGCCGCGTGACGTCACGCCACGCGCACTGTAAACAACGAACAGCGGGGAGCCACGTCCGATTCGAGTTCAACTTCACAACAAACAAACAACAACAACAACAACTTTACTGCCGTGTCGGCCATTACACCCGTTATACGACGCAACGACAAGCCCCCAGCGCACGCTGTCAACCGCATCTTGTTGTTAAAAATCAGAATCGCATTTTCCGATTGACGCTGCACAACAGGAGGTAGTGGTGACACGTGCGTCTGTTACACGCGCCGGCTTCAATTCGCCGCCGTCTGCTGCTGCTGCTGCTGTTGTTGTTATTGTTGTTGTTATTGTTGCGATGTCCGCCGCCGGAGACCTCTCTCCCCTGGCGCTGTCCGGCTGGCGCCTCGTGCTGTCCGAGGCGCGGGACGCCGCCGTCTTCGTGGACGCGGCGAGCGCCGAGTCGCTGCACTGGACGGGCGGAGCCGGGGGGGACGCGGGGCCTTGGCGAGCCGGGGCCGCGGCCCTCAGGGCCTTCCCAGGACGGAGGGACGATGTCCACCAGCAGCATCAGCAGCATCAGCAGCAGCCGACCAAGGTTGTCTTCGCGCTCAGCTCCCCCGTGCTGCTCGGAGGCCGCGTGGCCGCGTCGTTGCGGGACGTGTTGGTGTCTGTCGGCGGCGTCCACCATTGCGTCGTGTTCACGTCCGTGAGCCACGCCGCGCACCTTGACCTCCTCCAGCAGCAGCAGCAGCAGGGTGGAGGTGGAGGAGGAGGAGGGGGACTGGGTGCCGCAGCAGCAGCAGCAGCGGCAGCAGCAGCCTCAAGCTCAGCAGCAGACGGCGAGCCCCGGCCCGTGCTGTTCGAACTCCTCGAGCAACACCTGCGCCAGTGGATGAGCGGCAGCGGTGGTGGTGGTGGCGGTGGTGGTGGCGGCGGTGGCGGTGGTGGTGGCGTTGGTGGTGGTGGTGGTGGTGCCGACTGCACTGCACGCGTCCTCCACGCGGCCGGCATCGCGCTCTGCCCGCTGGCGAGCGGCGTCGTCCTCGCCCCGGCCTCCGCCTCGCTCTTCCCGCTCGTGCCGAGCGACCTGCTGCTGCATCCGGGCGGGCTGGCCGGTGGCAGGGGCAGCAGGCGCGGTGTCAAGCAGCAGCAGCCGCAGCAGCAACAGCAGCAGAAGCAGCAAAGTCTGAACGACGTGGACGTCTCGGCGTTGCCCGCGCCCTACGCCTCGTCTCTACGCCTCCTCGCCTGGTGGCTGGACTCGGCGCTGAGGCATCTCGGCGTGCGGGAGGAATGCTTCGCCGTGGGCCCCACGAGTCGCCTGCTGGCCATCGAGTTGGCCTCGCTGCCTCCCACGCGTGCCCGCAGGAAGGCCGCCACCGGCCGAGCCTCCTTGGTGCTCGTGGACAGGACGCTGGACCTGGCGGGTGAGATTTGCCGAGGCTGAGGCTCCTCCCGTCGATATTCTTAGGTTTTTTCGGTAAAGTCACGTAGGTAAAACATCAAAATTAATAAAATAAAATATTATATTATTTTATTTTATTAATTTTGATGTTTTAAAGTCACGTAGGTAAAACATCAAAATTAATCAAATAAAATATTATATTATTTTATTTTATTAATTTTGATGTTTTAAAGTCACGTAGGTAAAACATCAAAATTAATAAAATAAAATATTATTTTATTTTATTAATTTTGATGTTTTACCTACGTGACTTTACCGAAAAAAACCTAAGAATATGAATCCTTGCAGTCACGAAAGCTTCAAGTCTAGAATTCCTCCCGTCGATTTGCACGCAGCGCGTGGGACGGTGGAATCGGCTCGTCTCATTGCGAGAAATGCGGACTGCGCCGACTGCTGACTTGTCCCACAAGGCGATCGAGCGAAGATCGGGAATGAACTCAATAATGTTGTAACAACATAATATTGTAACAACATTATTGAGCAGTTAATACTAATTTCATTTTATATAGCGTCATTCGTGCAATTGCGTTCCACAACGCTGCACATTAATTATCCAGTTTCACGTCATTGATGCTGTTTCCATAAGTACATGTTCGTAAACATTATCGATTTTTTTTACCAAATTCTGGGTTCAAATCCATGCAGGTGACACGTGGATCAAACGCTTGACTCGGTGATCAACTCAGCCATTTGCTCATAGGATAAAAAAAAATCTCACATTGTGAAAAGTCAACAGTCATTGTGCTAAGCATAGACCCCCTCCATCATAAGCATGTGTAGTTTACACCATTGGCTTAGGGCCACCAATGGAAAGGGCTTGAGGAGGTCTTCATCCAGCAGTGGGATTGATCGTGACTGATAATGATGCATATATGTTGAACTTCTTTTACACCGTACATAGCCAACCACTTCCACTTGACTTGGTTCGTGCGGTTCCATTCATTCTCGTCACGTGCGTACGCAGGAGCCGTGGGTCACCACGGCGACAGCCTGGCAGAAAGGATTCTGGGAGTGCTGCCGCGCCTGCCGGGGGTGCCGAGCGACGTGGCGGTCAACATGACCGCGTTGACGGCGCTGCGTCGGGACGGAGGCGTTCCTCCCAGGGAGGTGCTCGCGCCAGGCTGCCTGGCACAGCCCAGGTACGAGGGCACGCACGCGGCGTGGTGGCGGTGGCGGTGGCGGTGACGCGGATCGAGCGGGGGCTTGACGCTTCAAGCCTGGCAGCCACGACAGTTAACGCTGCAGTATGAACAATCAGCGACGTGCACTTCACAGTGGACGTCAATGATTCCATCGTGCTATTCAAGAAAGTATGTGCCTCGTGTGCCAGTGTCATTGTCCGATTTAGAAAATTACCAAAATGTATGAGTACGATTTAAAGCTTTCGTGACTGCAGGGATTCATCTTCTTGGTTCTTTGGGTAAAGTCACGTAGAAGGGAAGTAATAAAATAATGAAAATAAAACATAATAAAATAATTCTCACGACGTTTCGGCCACAACGCAAGTAGCCGTCCTCAGGTGAAGACCAGGTCTGTCGGGGAGATAGCGTCTGAATGAAACACCACCACGCTTGGAGCGTATATTTAAGCTGCTGGGTTGGAAGGTGGGAAGGGCTGCTTGCGTTGTGGCCGAAACGTCGTGATAATTATTTTATTATGTTTTATTTTTATTATTTTATTACTTCCCTTCTACGTGACTTTACCCAAAAAACCAAGAAGATGTATGAGTACGTTGAACTTCTTTCGCACCGTACGTAGCCAACCGTGTTCATCGGAGGTGCTAGGGAAGAACAACAAACTAAACACAAAAATCAGTTCTAAATAAATGAGTTTTCAGTCTTGATTTACCTACCGCTGGAATTAACTTACCCTATATATTAAGCAGTACCCCGCCTTAACCTCCTCTTGTTCCTCAAACCTTTCCTCTTTTCCATTACCCATTCCCTTCCTCTTCCTTCCCCTCGCCCCTCCACTCCATTCCGTCCCTCCCCTATAGCCCTTTCACGACCCCCGTGCGTCCTCTGTTATGGTCACTCATTCCTCAGCCTTTGCACGCCCCTGCCGTCTAAACGACTGTATTTTTGGACCGCTTTTAAACTATGTAAAGCGCCTTGAGCCTTGAGCTGTGCGAGAGAAGTGCAACACACATACAAGATAATTTAAGAATCGATGTTATTGTTTAGCATGTCTACAGGGCTCACTAGAGCAGTGGTACCAGCAGTGGTACCAGCATGAAATTACAGGGCCGCACCTTTTTATATGCAGATGGCCTATATCCAAAACTAGCTTTACTACCCGGCTTCGCCCGGGACTTGGATTCACCACGCTCGGCCGTTTTTGTCTCCCCAGTGGCGATGTTCACACACCACACCAGTTACTCGTTTGAGGCTGAGTGGACCTAGGGGAGGCCCAGGACCGGTTCAAATAATCGTTACCGGTGGTGGCCGTGAACGGGAATCGAACTCGGGTCGCCGGGTTCGTAGCGCGGCGTGCTAACCACTACGCTACACTGCGTTACGTTTCCACATGCGCGGGTCACGTGACAGATGTGACGTCACAGCTCACTTGCCGTGCAAAATATATGCATTATTGCGTCCCCCCCCCAAAAAAAAAATACCAAAGTCTATCTTTATAATTTGTGCATGGTGTACAGTCTGGAAAGTACCCACATGGCAAATTTCAAGTTTGTTGCATATCGGGAAGTACGCTAAACATTTGGAACAGACACACATTCACAAATTTCCCTTTTATATATATAGATAAACAACAAAATTTTGTATTTTCTCTGGGTCCTCCGGTTTTTTGTATTTTTCTCCAGGTCTCCGGTTTTCCCCTCCACATTTATAATCATGCATTTAGAGTATTTGGCTGGAATAGGTTTCCACACGATAAGCCACTTCGTTGGGCTACCATTTGTGGCCAGGTCGCTTCTTAAAAAATGCTACATAGGTCAGTGGGTCTTACCTGGTAAAATAGAAGTGAGTTTCGTTTAGTTTAACTCGATGTTAGCAGTGGCCGGCAATCAAACTCTAGTTGCCCGGGCTCATAGCGCAGTGCATGCACCACTGCATGTCCTGCTTCACACCCATGACGTATTTGTACATTTCAGGAATCAGAAGAGTTCGGAAGAGGCAGGGCATTTCTGCGGCTCTGGGAGTATGGGAAGTTTGCCCCCTTGTGGTGCTTGGTTTTCTTCTCGCCAACACTTGTTTTAATTTCTTTGCCTGCGCAGAAATAGGGGGGAACGGTATTATATATAGAGAGAGAGGGGAACTCAGTCATAGGCAGGAGAGAAAAGGAAGATCTCGGGAAACCCGGTTTCATGATCGAGGGCGGCCTTACGCCTAGATTCAAACGTAGCATTCCGGCGGTTGTCGGCGCATTCCTCTGCTTGGGTGTCAGTGCTACGCTATGGGCAGCGGAGGGCAGTGCAGGAAAATCCGATGCTGTATGGCCCTTCTATGTCCCCATGTACTGCATACGCATGGACCAGCATGGTGAAGTATGGTCAAATAACCCCAAGACATGGAGAGGCCCTCATCCGGCAGTGGATTGGCAACGGGCTGTGAACATAGATGTACACATGTACATACATGTCGTCCAATTCACCTCATCTCGGAACACGGTATTTAGGCCTACTACGGTACAGCATTCTTAACAGTTACATTAGTGATCAAATTGCAATATAGGAATCGAATTTCTTGAACCCAACTTTTTGGCATGTATCTATTCCTACCATTCCCCAGCACCCCCTATCTTCCTGCTAAATATTTCATGAATTGTCATGATCCGGGGTCACTCTTCGATGAAATAATCCATTCCCTGTTCTTTATTTCCTACTCTCTCGTTGGCATTGTCCATCTTGTTTGTTCAGTCTTCTTCTAGATTTGAAGCTTTCGTGATTGCAAGGATTCATATTCTTAGGTTTTTTCTGTAAAGTCACATAGGTAAAAAAATTAAAATTAATAAAAGTAAAATAAAATAAAAATCACGACGTTTCGGAGCTTGTGTTGCCTCCGAAACGTCGTGATTTTTATTTTATTTTACTTTTATTAATTTAAATTTTTTTACCTACGTGACTTTACCGAAAAAACCTAAGAATATGAATATCAGTCTTCTTCTGTCCATGAACTCAATGGCGCACATCTCTGGCAGCGTACACGCATTGAAACTAATTTGTTCGGAGAAACGTGATTCGATGCATGCGTCGCAGGTGCAAGGCGGCATTTGAATCCGTAAGGCCGTTGCCGCATGTCAACTTGCTGTGCTCCGTCCAGCAGGTTCTCAGAGTGTCATCCGCCGCTCCCACCAGGTGGTCCGCCGGTGGCTGTGATTCAAAACGCAGCTTGATCCGGACAGTGGTGACAACGTTTATTGTACCTTTTGTTTCGGACATTAATATTGCATTTTAAAATGAAGCTAGGTAAACTACCCTGATTAAACTACCCTAACCCTCACACCTAAATACCCCCCGCACCCCCTCCTAAAAAAACGCCTTATAGCTGCGTTTAAAAAAACATGTTTTTATCTTCCGGTAATATGAATAATTTAGCACGAGTGGTATTTATAGAGATAAGCGAATGCGTTTTGTCCCCAGTGGTGGGGGTGGTCCGTGGAAATGTTTGCAGCGACTGATTGGGCCGCGGGCCAAACAGGTTTGATAAACACAGCCTTGTGGGTCCGGGGGTCACGTGCACACTATTGTGGCTCCATCTCTTTGTGTTCCACCAACTCTGGATTGCAGTTGTGCGACATCGCCATAGCCATCACAGACGACGCTGTTCAAGTCCACTGTTTAAAGCGCATTCATTTAAATCCTCAATTGTGTCCCTTTTTGTTTCTCAGAGTTCAAGAGAGGATGAAAAACACCACAGAGCAGACGAATAATTATATTATCATTACCCCTGAGCAACGCAACACAAAGACGGCAATGGTTGGATGGGGCAGGGCAAACGAGAAAAAGCACCGCTACGATTAGACCTGAGCTTTAATTCTAATCGCGGTTATAGCAGCATCGTTAGCCGAACTTACAATTACACCGCGATTGCAATTGATTACAAATCACACAGTTAGCCATTGTAACTGACCCCTGGCCTGTTTACGATATGACCTCGGGGTAGAACTTATTAAATAAAATCTTAACAAAAAACAAATGGTTCAGCGTAACGGCTCATTCGAAAAACCCACGGCCCCTCATATTGTAGGTTTGGTGCCGACAGTCCCTTTATAAGTTGGCCCACGGTTGTTGCGAACGGCACGTCTTTAATCCAGCGCTTTCCAGCATTCCGGTTGATACATCACCTTGGCCGTACGAGCAGCTGGGTTAGCGCTCGCCCTCCGTTGGCAAGCTCCGAGCCAGGAAGGGAATTCCACGTTCCCGTGACGGCGGGGCTGGTAGTTGGGCATTCGATCCATGGGTCGCCCGCGGTTGACTTCCCGCAAAGTGGCACCCATCTCGTATTCTCCAGGCAGATGAACAATCACCGTTGACTTCTCACATCGTTGTACTCACTGTGTCAACCGCTAACGGGATGAGCAGTGATTTAGAACACGAAACCTTCTGGTTGTTTGCCGAGCCCTCTGACCACTGCGCCGTTTGGACAGATTAACAAAATTACGTCCGTGTTCGGCGTGTACGTCCGAGGCTCGTTTAGTGCACTGGCCTTGCCCGGCTTGTCTCGCGACAGAGGTTTGTCGCGTTGACATTAGTGCAGACCAAACACTGTTGACGGGTGGCCTTTGATGCTGGGCGCAAGCTGGGGGTGAGGGGGAATGTGGCCCTAACACGGTTTATTGAAGCCCGCTCTCCCACTCGCTCGGCCATCTGGTTGCAATTGTGATGAGTGTTAGTGGCTGACAAAACCTATCTTTGCTCGGGGCTTGATTTTCCTCCGAGGCACCAGTCCCAGATGATTTGTAACTTTCATACGGTTGGGGGGGGGGGGGGGGGTTATTTCACCGTTCGAGCCATGCCTTGCGATGTAAAAAGTGATAAACACATGCTCACGTTTTAAACGGATATCTATAAATACTTTATTCCAGCGTGCACATGTACCTGTCTGGACATGTGACATGTGCACACAAACACACACACAGAGATCCCCCCCCAGACGAGTGTTAGCAAACGCCTATTCCGGTG